CAAGAATTCTGGTTACATGTTCAACAGCTAGAAACAGTTAGGAAATCACCTGAAATTTGGTCTTCCCAGAATACAGAAAGTTGAATGATTAGTTTTCCATTGTATACTAATCTCTTCTGTGGCCAGTATCCTTCCTGGTGTCAGTTATATTTTATGAATAGATCTGAGAAGGAAGATTTGCCATGGGACATTTTAGTAGTACTGTTATAGTACTTGCCATTGTAACATCTTTGAAAATGTTCTTCTTCTGGAAGGGTCTTAAGAATTACCACCTACCACCTACTGTGTCTTCTTATATGTACAGTGGAGAAGGTGTTTATGTCCAGCAGTGGCAATCATTTGGACATTTAAAGTACCAAAAGGCAGCCTAATTTTTAGTTTAAATGAGAAGAATGATAATGAATTCTTGGACCTTAACACTATTGGTGGCATACAGTGTTATTACTAGTGTTTCAATCAAGTGTGAAAGTTGCACCTAGTTACTCCAATGCAGCAACACAACAAAGCAATTAACTCACTTATCCATTTTGTGTTAATATTTATTGTTTGCATCATCTCAGTTATGTACAAATATCCCATTTGAAAATGTAAGTACATTTACATTTTCACGTGTTCCACATTAACTGAATAAAATTTGGTGACGATATACACACATTTGCAGCTGTATATAAATGTTTTGTCCATTAAAAAAGAAAAAAAATGCAAAATTAAAAAATGAAAATGCTTACAAATTAACAAAAAGTAAACATTTCCCCAGTCATTCATGTTCAGAATCTAAGGAAAAGAGAGCAGAAAATTCAAGTAAATTGTGGCTGCAATCCTGTGCATACTTAGGTGAATATAAACCCTTTGAATGCAACAGGGTTAATTTCTTAGTAAACACACAGGATTGCATTGAACATTATGCAAAAGAATTTTCTTTTTACTTTGGGTAAGCACAATTTACAAAAAGTTAAAAGATATTTCTTTTCTTTCCAAAGCTTTCTTTTACAATGTTGTTTATATGATTTAAAATTAATCATTTTACAGTATTACATTTGGGGGAAAATACTCAAAACATATGTAACACAGTGGAGTTTTAAAACTGAAAATGTTGGAAGAACTAGCAAATGTAATCATATTTTAAAACTACCATTTATAAACTGAAGTTACAAACAGAACAGAATTAAGAAAATGCACACTCAGTATTTCCAGGATGGATTAAAGATATAGAATCACTGAAAATATTATTTTTTACAAGTTAACAATTTACTGCTGTGGCTGATTTAGGCACTGGATTTGTAGAAACAGATTTTAAAAACAACTTCATTTTATACAGATATTTGCAATCACAAATTCAATACTACTTTTTGTTTCCTAATTTAACATAATCCAGGCTATGTTTCTGACTTTCTCGCTGGCCCATTGACGGTTTAAAATAATTTTCTTTCTTTACATTAAAAGAAAACTCTAAGCATTTTGCACATCTTACCTTTTTGGGCTGCACTCCTTACTTGAGACTAAATTCTACTGAACACATTTGACTTGCTTCCAAATGACCATGTTAAGATTACACTGTGAATATAATCAAGTTTGTTGGTTCTATTTGGATGGTATCTTTGAGAGTTAATTTTAGTAAACTGGTTGAATGGTTTATTTATTTTCCAAACAGCTGTTGCTCAAGGATACTTAGAACATTCCTCCTTCATGCTGATAACTGCAGATTCACCTCAAATAGGAGCACCTTTTTAAATAGCATAAACAGTATTAGAGTAGACAGATTCTGAACCTGCATCAACATTGAAAATGTTATGGCTAGATTGTGTGGCAGAATTCTCAGTGAACAGAATGTGAGTCAAGATTGAGACTGGGCTAAACCATCCCGTATCCAAGATACAATCACAGAGGGAAGGCTTTGCAGGGGATATAGGTGCCTAATTCCCACAAATAGTGTTGGCTCCAGAGACCATAAGTAAAGTCTATAGTCTTACCTCCATTACCAGTGATGTTTTTCCCAGATGCTGGACTGAAAAAAGGAATGTCAGAGTAGATTAGGAGTGTGATGCAAAGTATATCCAAAATCCAAAACTTTCTGGAGACCAAAATATTCTGCTTCAGTTTAGATACAATATAATTTATATACGTCTTCATAGAGAATGGAAAGCCTCGCATTATATAATAGTTACACAAGTCTGAAGAATTTACTTTCACTGATCAATTAAGAATACTGTTTCATACTTTATCTTATAGTTGAGCAAAGGAGGGCTGTACTAATAATGGGCCAGTTCAAAATGCTCATCAGACATGCAAGTGTAAAACAGCCCTCCTTAAAGTGTGATAAGGGCATGTGGGAATGACCTTGGGACTTACAAGATTCTGTTAATGTAAACTTACAATAAAGCATAATTAGTTCATTGGGTGTGCTCCCTCTCCGGACTACCTTGCAAGAATGACATCAGGTTTGCAAGTCTGAAAGTACATTTCTCTCTCTCCTTGCCTTTGCAGCCCAAGAAACTAGAGAGGGTCCCTTCTGAGATGTTTGCCACACCCATGTTCCTTCTACAGGCTCAGATGCCTTATATCCAATTGTTGCCTGGCTGTGGCTCCCCCTCCCTACAATCTTTAAGATCATTCCCATTAGAGATGTTGAGGCTGTTGCAACCTATAAGGCTATGAGCCGCTGCTTTGGATACCTTCTCACATCATGTTGTGTGCAGTGTCACAATCAAAGTCTTTCAGTTATGGCCACAGCTGGAACTGGAATATCAATTGCTAAGCAATGCAGCCATTAAGCAAGTCGACTACCGGACCGGACCAAATTTTACAACTATTTCCACCACAGTTAAGTGAATCACCATGGTTGTTAAGTGAATTTCACATGGTTATTAGGTGAACCATACAATTGTTAAGTGAATTCGGATTTCTCAAGTTTTTGGAAGCTGGATAGGAATGCTGTCAGGGTGGAAAGGCAGTCAAGTGACTGCAAAACACTGCAACTATGGTATAGGTGAGCTGGTTGATGAATGGCCAAATTGTGATTATATAACCACAGGAGTGGGGTGTCTGTCTAAATTAGATGACAGGTCATAACTCACTTTTTCAGAGGCCATTGTAATTTCAAATTGTTGTTAAATGAATAAGTCAAATATTACTTATAAAAGAATAGGGCTTTAATTACAAAACCACATCTATCATCTTGCAGATTTTGATATGCTACCACAGATAACCTCAGGTGCTTCACAATTCAGGGGCCAGTTTCCCATGTACTGTTTTTATTTTCTTTTTTTTACAAAAAAAAAAGTGTTTTTAAAAAGCCTGCTGAGTCAGGAAGCCTGGCAAGGGTCGGAAGAGGGAGCTATAGGCAACACATTGCCTGTTTTAATTAATCACTACATAATGCTCCAGGCATAATACACATATTAAGAAGATTTAGCTTATTGACATAGACCTGAGATGTCAGAACTAATAATATCGTGTGTAACAGGAGTCTGATAAAGTTGATTTTATATTGCTTATTTATCTGTTCATAACTAGACATACACACGATCTTAAACGGACATTATTTGAAAGGCATTTTTTTTTGGAAATGTTAAATGGTTCTGTATAGCAATAAAATTGGATTCATATTTTAATATAAACCTCAGGATGGAAGCATATAAAAGAAATGAAGCAGCTATTACCAGAATGATTACATAAAAAGTTGCACGTCGGAGGAAAAGCTTGTATGTTGTTATGTACCATGATCGTTCAATTCAAAAGAATGGTGAAGATATCATGTCTATCTCTTAAAATGACTACAGAGACATTTCAAGTGAGAAAGCTCCATGAACACATTACAGTTTCCATCTTAGATTAGGTATCTGACAATGATGAATCAGGATATATTTTTAAAAATAATCTATATTAGCCATTGTCCTGAAAAAAAAGTCCCCACCCCAAAAAAAAAAAAAAAAAAAAAAAATCAAACAAACTCAAGATTATATCAGATTATCCCAAATAGGAAGAACAGGACGATCAATCCTTCATCAATGAAATACTTTCCATTAGCAGGAGAAAAATAAGTAGTAAATTCATATTCCTTCCACTGAACATATTGGGACACTGTTTAGTTAAGTATTTTTCCCAAGATTAGTGCACAACCACTTTTTTCTTTTTTTCTTTTTTATAAAGTTAGCAATATAAAAATCTAGTCATTTACAGCCTTCAAAGAAATAAGAAATCAACTTGAAAATCTACTAACTGTAGAAGTTGGTCAGAGTCTGAAAGTAGACACATTACTGCCAGGATTTTGACTAAAAAACAGCTGCTTTTACAAGACTGGTATATAAACAGTAGTTGTGTTAGCTGGCCTATCCAGTAACATTTTGGAAACTGATCTCTACTTTTATTAGGAATCAAAAATTTATTGACAAATGTCTGTCTGATGCAGGATTTTCACTATCACCCTTACTGAAAAGAGACAGTTTCTATGGCAATACTCATTAATAAGTGCATATCATGCGGCACTAATATAGTGCAAAAAAAAAATTGCCTTATCTGTAGCAAAAAAGTTCCAGGCAACAGTTTGAGAATTAGAGAAAGTAAAAAGTATTACACATAGATATTAAACGTCCAGACAACTTGTATAAAATTTTGAACCTGAAGATTCTTAACTCCTTGATAAATGTGTGTGATAGTAGTTCATTAGTACCTGAAACTGGTAACAAGACAAGAATTTTGCAAATCTTTACCTCTTTGAAAAGCTAGTTCAGAAATCTGCCTACTGTCGTCCAAAAATGCCAAAACTTGTTCAATGGTTTCTTATTCTCAGTTAAAGTTTACAAGATGCTAAACACTAAGTTGTTTTTTTTAAAACCAGTATATCATTTGAGAGATTTTTTTAACCTATGATGCAACTGAGTATATATATATGTTGGATATAAAGCATTATAGACAACCTGGTATGATCTTCCCATGCTTACTGAGTAAAGTTAGATTAATGCAGCAGACTGTTCTAGTATCAACACTCCCAAATCTCAATATAATATGCAAGTGGTTTTATAGTTCGTATGTTTCAAAGAGCACTGCATAAAGATGCTCAGCTGATGTGCTTACAACTGAAAATGGCCACTGGAATTTGCTGTACCAATTGGTGGTCACGGACAAAGATTCCTTCTTAGAACATCCATAGCCATCCATCTTATCTTTTTTTTTCCTTTGTCTTGTGTAACATCTGTTTGGTATTGTCCACAATGTGCATGCTGTTTTTCAATACTACTGTTTCAAAAGTTTAAAGAATGGGAGGCAATTATTTTACATGTCCGCATCTCCATCATAAGCCAGGGTTAAAGGTTTCAGACGGTTATTCTGCCTCCTCTGTGGTTTCTTTGGCTTTTTACTGCAATAAGCAAAAAGTAAACAGTCACCAATCTAACATATTAAGCTAACAGACAGATAGGTTTGCTATTCCTTTCATTCAGGATGAGAAGGCAACACGGATTTATAAGCAGTTCTCACTTTTAATAATTTGGTTTAAATTGGTTTGGGTCAGATATGTAAGCTTTTATCTACAAGATTCTGAAGGAAAGAAACAGATTTGTAGATTACAAATGTATTGATATGTCACAGCCAAATAAATAATTAGGTTACCCAGTAGCTCTGAACAATCACCTGATCAAACTATTTAGAAAACTCACCTCTGCACACACTCCCACCAAAGAAGAAAATTTCAGCCATGATACTAGGGATGTAAACTAGATTGGGAAGTCAAAAGATAGGAGCCCATTTCCATTGTACTAACAACAAAATGGCTGGAAAAAGTTACCAGGAGTTGAGTTGGATTCAAATGAGACTTTACCTTTATGGGGTTAGAAGTGGGAATAGCAGAAAGAGGTTTGGGGAGAGACAAATGAATAATTTACATTCTTGCGTGTCAAGGAACGCAAGGAGGAAAAGCTGGGCTTTGAGCCCTAATGTTCCAACCCATATTTTTTCATTATTTTGCCATTACCTTCTCTCATACATCTATGGAAGATTCCACTCCAGCTGTCTTCCTTGCTACACAGATCAGCTTAGAAGCTACAATCTATTCTCTTCCAATGTTTGCCAATGGAGATTTAAAAAACAAAACAAAACTGGGAAAATAATTGGAGAAACACAACTGAAGAAGCAGTTCTTCATTTGCCACCTCCATAACCCAATTAAACACCTATATTTGTGCTTAATTACGATGCAGATACTTCGTGATATACATATACACACACATATAACTAATCATTTGCATTGTAATTAAATATATTTAATTACAATGCAAATGCTTAGTTATATATATGTGTGTGTGGTGTGTGTGTGTGTGTGTGTGTATGTATATCACTAAGCATCTACATTGTAATTAAACACAAATATAGGTGTTTAATTGGGTTGTGGAGGTGGCAAGTGAAGAACATATAAAACTTACAGCTCTTCCTTGGATTATGACCATTCATTCAGTGACTGTTCAAAGTTATGACAACACTGAGTGAGGGGCACTTGGACAGCTCTGGCAGCCAGAATGATCATCTTTGTTTATGAGAAACCAAGTGATCGTGATTTCCAACATTGCTTGCCAGTTTCTCACGGAAATTGGAAGTCATGATTATAAGAGATTTTCACTTAATGGTCCACTTGATCCTTGTTTCATTACAGTAACTGGGAGGGCTGGAATTGCCATCACTATGCAGCATGGAATGGCATTGTGTTTCATGACCACGTCATTTAGTGATGGAGTTCCTGGTTCCCAATAGCTATTGTTAACACATATTGAGAAATTGAAAGTTAGCTTGAATAGGCAGAAGATAATAATATAGGAAACATATCAGGAACAGTTGCTAAAAAATTCAATATTAAGATGGAAGGAATAAATTAAAACAAATTATAAGCTTATTTGTATATTTACTATACATTATTTTTGAGGAAAAATTCCAAGTATAATAAATGATAAAACTCACCAGGCTAGATAGATCATAGATATTACAAAGATGAGCAAAACAAATGCACCAGCAGCTACACCATAAACCCACGTCTTCAGCTTCCCATCTATAATAAATTTAAGTTAGTTGTTAGTAATCAGTTAGTGCCGATCAGATATTTTTAGAAAGTACAGTTAGTACTGTACACAAATGATGCATTTTTGATGTTACACAAAGTTTGCTTGGCTAGTAAGTGAGATTATATCTTTTCTTGAAGTAGCTCAATAGAAAAGATGGTAAAGAATGAAGAACAAAATCTTTATTCAAGCACCAATTTGAGGAATGTGTTTGTCTTGTATCAGAGGTAGTATCTGTGAATGTGCCTAGAATTCATGTTTTTGGAAACTTGTAAGATCTTTTATTTATTTATTTATTTATTAAATTTATATACCGCCCTATTCCTAAGGGACTCAGGGCGGTGAACAGCGAACGATAAAAATACATGTAATACAAATGTTAATAAAAAAACCAATTAAAATATACTAAACACTCTGGTCCTAGATAATTCAAGACATCCCAGTTTAAAATAAAATCAAAAAGCAATATAAAGGGAAAGTTAGGCCAGGCCGGCCTGCTGAAACAGGAATGTTTTGAGGGCATGGTGGAAAGTGTGCAGATCTTCTGTATCTCTGGGGGGAGCTCGTTCCAGATGGTGGGTGCCCTCACAGAAAAGGCTCTCCCCCTGGGGGCCGCCAGTCGACACTGTTTGGCTGATGGCACCCTGAGAAGCCCCTCTCTATGGGAGCGTACTGGGCGGTGAGAGGCTATTGGTGGCAGAAGGCGGTCTCGTAAGTGCCCCGGTCCTAAGCCACAGAGCGCTCTAAAGGTGGTAACTAAGACCTTGAAGCGCACCCGGAAGACCACAGGGAGCCAGTGCAGCTCGCGCAGGAGGGGAGCCACATGGGAGCGCCATGCTGCTCCCATAACTACCCGCGTGGCCGCATTCTGGACCAGTTGGAGCCTCCGGGTGCTCCTCAAGGGGAGCCCCATGTAGAGAGCATTACAGTAGTCCAGGCATGAAGTGACAAGGGCATGAGTGACCGTATTTAACGAGTCCCGATCCATTTTAATGGCTTGATTCTTTTGTAGATTATTGATCAAATCAATATAACTTCAAACAAAGTCATTACAAAGGGAATAGTTATGTTTTTGCTTTTTTCCAAAAATACCAGTAAAAATGTTAAATGTGGGTGTTTTTTTCTGTTGGTCACTAAAACGGTTTGATGACTGTGAATTTGTACATGTTTTATATAATGTTATTTAATTCTTCTCCCTCCTCTTTTCTTGGTCACAAAACCTTTATTCAGGGCTAAGGCAAGCATCTGAAGGCAGGACAAGAAGCAATTAATGAAAACTAATCAAGGAGAACCAACCCACAACAAAGGAGAAATTTCCTGACCGTTAAAACAATCAGTGGAACGACTTGCCTCTAGAAGTTGTGGGTGCTCCAACACTGGAGGTTTTTAAGAAGAGACTGGACAACCATTTGTCTGAAATAATTTTGGGTTTCCTATTTGAGCAGGGAGTTGGACTAGAAGACCTTCAAGACCCCTTCCAACTCTGTTGTTCTGTTCTGTTCTGTTCAAGCTAAACTTTTCCTATGTAATTCCTATAGATAGGGTTACATGCTAGGCAATCAAAAGAGCAACTATCTATGCAAGATAGTTTTGTGATGATTAAATCTTGTCTAAGATAATGCCATGGATATTTATTTTATGCAATGCTTTTGTGCAAAATCATTTTTGACATGTTGAATGGAAGTATCAATAAACGAATAAGCTTCTGTAGTATAACAAGAGCTCAGAAGAGACTGAAAATAATCGGATCTCCTTTGTATACTATTAATAACTGGAGTGGCATGAGGTAGTATGATCAAGAATCACTGATCTCTCTACCTTCTTAAACTGTCATACAATACTACTATCATACAATTTATTCCAATTTATATGACCTAATATCACTAACTATCCATGTGAAATTTCACCTGGGGCAAAAGGTTGGAGGAACCAAGTTCTTCCTCGTCCTGGTGTGGTGATAGGTGTCTGTGTGGGGTTTACAGCTCGACTAGTTTTCACATCTTCTTTATGATCCACTGTGGGGATAACTACCACCGGGATGCGAGTGCACTGCTCAAGTGTGCCATTAGAAGACATTACTTCTGTATATCCTTCTTCACAAACACACATTCTGGTCTGCAGAGGAATGAATGTTTTACACACTGTAGCAAAGTCATATCACTTCAAAAGCCATAGAATATAGCACAACATAGATGAGCAATCCATGACCCCAGAGAAGCACATGATTGTGGACTTTTTTTTGTTAATGTTTCTGGGGTCTCTTCTCCATAAAACAGCAATAAATACTGGACAAAAAGCCCATAGTGTAGTTCCCAGCCATTTTGAATCAAGAAACAAGAACTGTAATGTAAGCCGTGTAATAGGCTTATAGTTGTGTATGTGCATGCAATTAAAAGAGCTACAGTATTAAACATCCTTCACCCAGTTCTTTAATATAATGATACTTGTTTTACCCATTGCAGCCTATAAATGTTGATTGTATTTTTGTGCATAGAATTTTTCTACCAGGGAAGTCAAGAATGCAGAACTTTATGTTTTATTATAGTGTCTGTCAAAGCCTGATTCTCATACAAGTAGTAAGCACCTTGGAAAAACCCCAGTCAAGAATGAAGAAGACCTGCTGCTATGAAGTAACAGCAAGGACTGAATATCTCAGCTGAGCTTGGGGCAGCCAGAGCTGGTCCAAGTTACAGTAGATCAAAGGGTTGTTCATTCCCCTCCCCCCCAACCTATTGCTCTCAATTTCAATAACCCCAAGATCTACTGGTTGAAAATGACAGGTTGTCTAGACAAGATGGTACCCCTTTCCATGCCAGATTTGGGAAATGTAATATCAAGATTGGTAAAACTGACTTCTAGGGCAGATATACAAGGGTGCAGGTCAAGCCCAAGAGATCATATACTGTAATTCAGTTTCCAATAATTCAGCTTTGCTCTCTGCTTACAGCCTTTCCTAACTAAAGTGGATTTTTCATTTTGACTAACAGCTCAACTAGACTTTAGAGTGTCAAAGAGTTTTAAACAATGTACGTACCCATCTTTCTTCAAGAATGGTGTAGCCAATTTAACTCTATTTTATTTGCCTGCCCTTCCTCTTGTCAAAGAAGACTAAAGAGACATTTCCTCAGAGGTAATGCTTGGAACTCTCACTAAACAATATGAAACGTAAGCATGGAGCTCTGTAAAAGCTACAAAGTAATGGCCAAGAGGGTAAAATATCTTTCACCAGTCTTTAAGGTGGTGCTTGCAACAGGGTTTCCAATTAAACATTGTGGGCTTTCTTACTGTTCTAATATGATGCACGACCAATGACACTGTGGCCCTATGTCAACAACCTGACCTGTGGTAGCACATACCTCACTACAGTAAGAATGGGACTGGCTGCATGCTGGCTTACATGACCTGTCCACATCTGGTTGGTGCATCATTAAGCAACCTCCTGCAGAACAAAACAAATGGCATTTTGGCACAATCATAATTTACTAATCGGGAAATACCTGCTTTATCTAGGAAAAAAAAAAACCATAATGGAAGAGAAGATGTTCTCAGTTCTTGTGCATGCTATTGAGAAAAAGTATAGCAAAACTACTGAATTTGTTTCACTTAATATCTCTCTGGGAATGTTAATACACTAGATATCATCTTCCTATTTCTAGCTCAAATAAGTAACTATCTTGAGGTGTGAAAATGAGGTGGGAATTACTGGTTTTCTTCTTTGCCCTAATTATTCACAAATGTGAACATCATACTGAGTAAAGGTGATATTACAAGACACTGCTCTCCTTTAAATCTCACCTCTCAACACACTGAGCAAATGAACAGGCCTCACCAAAAGAATGAAGTAAATGATATTTAAGACTATAAGTTCACCTCCTTTGCAATTTTATGCGGTTCAATTAGCAACCCAGCTCCCATACCTGTTGTCCGAAAAAGTTCTTAGATGATGGAAATGAAATACTTTGTGCCTCCTTGGCAAATCTTTATATCACTAACACCCCAAAAGGTATATACTGTAGCTGTGAGAGGAAAATGCTGCATTTCCAATTGTAATGAGGAAAATAAGTTAACAGTTCCCAAGGCATGAGCTTTCGTTGGGTTTTTTTGGTTTTGGGTCAGTGGATGGAGGTTATTAATTCAGCATGGTTACTTGGATTTATTAAATCCACATAGGTTTTCACCATTATTCTGAGCCAGAATTAGCACTGCAAGCCTTTGGAGATGCCTTAGTTCTCTACTTTAGTCTCTGTAATAACAAAACCAAGTTATGTAACATATATATATATATTCACTCTGGCAATCTATTGGGCTTCAGTGCTCAATGGGTAAAAAGAAATAATATAAACTGAATAAATAAATGTTGACTGCAGCACCAATTACTGTAAAATAATCATGCCCATCCCGCACAATGGTGAAAAACAATGTAGAAATCTGAATAGCAGTAGATGCAGTTAGGTGCAATTAGGCAACTGTATGTTAACTAAAGGAATAACACTGATTGCCAAATCAATGTTGCTAGCTGACATGGTAAAATGTGTGTATGTCTGGGCATCAGTTGCACATGCCTGCAATTGCCTTTCTTAAAATATGTCAGCCATCTGAGGAACTACAGGAAGAAACTGTTTCCTCACCCATTTCATTGTGAATTAAGGTATCTGCAAAAATAAAATGTAGATATCAAAAGGCCACACAAAACAATCATACTATGATAGAAGTCCAACAAATGAAAACAACGGTGTTCTAAACAATTACAAATGTAAATGTAATCTTACCATGTATCTTTTAATCATCATTTTGAAATTGTTCAGAGCAATCAAATGAACATGTACAGTATAACCATTTCATAGCCAGCCAAATTATGCATGTCTGTTAAAAACCAGTGAAAACATTTGGCTACTTCTAGAAGACAATTTAGCTCTTTAACACATTAATTATAAAGCAATGTACATAGTGTTGGGAAATATTCTAGCAAGAACGACATAATTTTGAGGAATGCAACCCAGTTTCTGCTTAACTAACGTTTATTTATTTCTCAAATTTATAAGGCTTGCCAGCTATAGATTCCAGCAGTGTACCATGATAAAAAATAGATTAAAAAAAACAATATATTGTAACAATAACAATAGTGATGACCAGAAGTGGCAACAAAACTTATGATCTATCATAGGTATTTCTATAAAAAGCCTCCCATCCTTCCAAGCCCAAACTCTTGGATAAATGCCATATTTTTAAGCACGATTTAAACAAGGGCAAGATAGGATTCATATGAATCTTGGAAGGAGTTGTTGTTCCAGAGAGCAAGCTCTGTGATAGAGAAAACCAACTTCTGAGTCTCATCATATAACACTCTTTGATTTATCTTGAGCATGTCAACTTTGCGTATCTCAGATAACCAAGGCCAATACTATTAAGAGCTTTATAGATGTTAATAAACACCTTGTGGTGCACCCAGAACTTAATGGCAACTCATAAATTGAAGGTGTTATTTGAATGTACTGTGGTTATGTCATTATTGGTCCTGCCATATATATACTGGATAGGTTGAAGCTTCTAAGTGATCTTTAAGAACTATCTTATGAAAATGTATTGCAATAGTCTATAGATGAAATGACCAAGGCTTGAGTGACTGTCTGGACAGCCTCCTGGTCTAGGATCTGATGCAATAGGAGTTGGACATTACAATTTAGGCCTGATATGCAATTTGAGGGTTTTCCTAATCTCCCAGCCACCTTCTGCTCAAGGAGAAGTTGGCAATTTGGCCATGAAAACCCTCAGCCAGGAATCATCTTGTCTGCCAGATGTATACAAGATTGGCTTCTTGATTTTTATGCTATTTTCCTGGCTCTGTAAAGAAGGTTCTGAGGATTATTAGATTCTCTTAAAAAAATGTATGGTGACAGAGGCTTCAATAGGAAAGAAATAAAAACTATCCCATGGTCAAAGAAGCACTTCACTTAATGCCAAATGGCCAGAGAATAGAATAGGCAGACTACAAATTTCAATGGATATATTTCACCCATAATCTAGCACAGTTACATCTTGCTTTTTCCATGGTTTCATTGGTATGTAGGTACTCATCTCTTAAAACAGTAAGATGTAAAACTGCTTATGTTGATTCAGAGTTTATTTTATTTACACTTGGGTGAAGGTCAGAAAGTCAAAGTGATGGCCATGAGACCTTGATTCAAAATCCCAATGTTTTTAACATGAGTCACTGTAATGAATAAGTGAATAAAATAGATGGGAAGCTGTTGAATGAATGATGCTGGTATGTATCAAATTGTATTGTAGCTAAAGCAAAAGCTATTTGACTACGACTGGCTTTCCTATTAACTAGATATTCTCGGTGCTATAGAAATGATAGCTAATTAATATAGGCTTTTATAAGTAGTCATTAACATTTATCAAGAGACCTTAAGAGCTGACACACTTCTATTCCTATCAAGAATTTAAAGGCTTTCCATAGAAAAGTTCTTTAATAGCCCCTAAATAACTTCCTATTGCCTCATGGCAGCTATCCATAGATTAAAGGACTCTAAGAATTGGATAATCTCTTAATTAATCATAGACATTTATACTGCTAATTTTTGGAAATTTATACTGGCACTGAAATCCATTATGAGTTGCATGCTATTATGAAAATTGTTTTTGATTAACATTCAAGGCTAAACTTTACATACAGAAATGTCAATTGCTCCCTGATTTTTCATGCAGACTTTGTATGGTTTCTCTAACATGGCAAGTTCTGAAATGTTCATGTTGGAATTTTTATACTCAAAATTGTAATGAGTCAGAACTAAATAGATATAATTATTATACAAGATCCTGCATATGTCTACTCAAAAGCAAATCCATTCAAGTTCAAGGAAGCTGTTCTCAGAAAATAGGGTATAACATTGAAGCTCACTCATTTAGTCCTTTATCAGCACTTCTTTATTGCTTTATCTAAATTAGGAATAAGAATCATATGCGTATTCCAGATATTGATAGATTCTAATTTCTGATGGATTATAGCTGTGTTGAGAGGGTATGATATGAGTTCTCTTTCAATAAGATATGAATAGTCATATTTTTTCTATCTCTAATACAAACACTAGAAATTCCTACAGTAGATCTTCTTTTATAATTTCTAAACATAGTTTAGTTTACCCAATAATGTAAAAAAGAATGTAAAGTTAATATTACCTGTAACATTTAAACCATCTGATCTTTGGCACCATACAGTCCGAGATGATCCCTTCCATGCACTGGCCATCCAATTGTATTCATAACAATGGCCATCTGAATTGAAAAGATTGAAAGATTCCATTATATTCTAGCTGTTGGCTTGGATTGGAAAGTTATGCCGGGTGGTTGCCTTCCATTTTGCTTCTCATTTTAGTTTTACTTTTAGTTTTATTAATAAGATCAGCCTATGAGCAGGAATTAGAATGGGCACATCAAATCTCACATAGTTCATCTGTATATTTATTTTAGACATATTTAGTTTTCAAACAAAACATTTTATAGTTCAGAGATATTAAAAATGAATACACATAATAAATGGCTGTACAGCAAATAAGGGCAGCATGTGATCAATTGCCATTTAAAATGTTTATAATTTTAAGAAAAATGAAACTTGTTCAATATAGGAATTGAAGTGAACAGCAAGAAACATTCCCTTAAGCGAGCATTCTGTGACTCTAATACCATCATTAAAAGGGCTTTTTCCTATCCTGGCATGTGATGATTGTCTAAAACTTGCGCGACCGCCTTCTGCCGCCGATAGCCTCCCACCGTCCAGTACGCTCCCACAGAGAGGGACTCCTCAGGGTGCCGTCGGCCAGGCAATGTCGGCTGGTGACCCCCAGGGGGAGGGCCTTCTCTGTGGCAGCCCCCGCCCTCTGGAACGATTTGCCCCCGGAGATAAGAAGGATATCGGATCTTTGGGTCTTTCGCCGAGCCCTGAAAACACTTCTTTTCCAGCAAGCAGGGCTGGCGTGAACCCCGCCCCCCTTTTTTAGTTTTTAATGGTTATTAATTGTTTAGTTTTAATTTGTTAATGGGTTTTAATTCGCACTGTTTTAATTCGGGCCAAATTATATAATTCTTTTAATTAATTTTAAATTTTGTATTGTTATGTATTTTAGTTTTGGCTGTGCACCGCCCTGAGTCCACTAGGAGAAGGGCGGTATATAAATTGAATAAATAAATAAATAAATAAATAAATAAATAAATAAATAAATAAATAAATAAATAAATAAATAAATAAAACTGAGAAGTTATCTTCATATGGTCCAAAGCAAAAGTTACTCATGTGGAAGGGACAATGTAACAGGTATCTGACTCAAAGCTCCTACCACTTGAAAAAAGCACCAGCACTTTGAATTGGACTGAAAAATGGGTTTAAAAAGCTTAGTAAAGCTGTTTTAACCCCACTAACTTCCTTTCTGATGCTCAGTCAAAGCAATATTCCCCATCAGATTTTGTTTGGAATTATCTTCAAAGGCAGCTCTTACTTAAGTCAAGCCTAGATGTTATCAGCACATGAATTATCTTACTAAGTTCACTCTGCCATAAATGGCAGTAATTTGCATTGGAGTCCCAATTCTGTTATTGAGATATTTGGTCGGAACTGGAGTCCTTCTGCATAGAACAATGCATGTTTCAGTGCTCAACTCTGGACCCTCCCTCTTTATAGACAGCACAGAGAGAAAAAGTGTGCATTTGTTTTCTGTATCTGTAACAGGAGAGAGATATTCCCCCTGAACATACATTGCTATAGATTCTGGTACTTACCATTACATTGTCTTGTCTCCAAAGCTTGGTTTGGACAAAGGTGCTGATTTTCTACATCTTGAACAATCACTGCTCGTGATCGAACCTGTATTCCTCCAAAACCAAGATCTTCCCCATTGATGCAGGTCATCTGACAAATGCTCCAGTGTGACCACTCCTTTAAGTAACAGTCACCTACACAGCAAGGGGAGGGGGCATATAAATGACCTAACATGTTAGCAAAGAAAAAGTGTTTGTAATAACCTCTTACAGTTAATTAGCATTCTGCCAAATTTATTTTTTTAAATAAACTTCATTCCCAAACCTTTGTATAAGCATGAATTTATATAACTGTTATATCGTATATTTTAGTTTCATGATTTAACAGATTACAAAAGTAGATTTCTACACAATATTATTTACAATGAGCAGCTCATACATTTAATAAATAACAAAATAATAATCTAAATAAGAGGTAGTCCTCACCAACTGCCTCATTTAGTGATGGTTCAAAGTTAAAATAGTGTAGGGGGAAAAAAGATTTGTAAGCAGGAGTTCCATGTACAACAATCTCAGCATCCTGCACTATATATTTATCATTTGTGTGCTTTGCAACTGGCTTGAAACAAATTAAACAAAAAAGCTGAAGTCAAGTTTTAGGTGTTGGTCACATGACGATTTAATGACTAAAGGGGAAGTGAGAACATAAGCCTATCATGGTTATCTGAGTTTCTGCTTAGAAACTGTGGTGCTTAATAGGTCCTAATTATGATTATTAGATTGATATCATGTCCCCCCACCCCAGGAGCAAAAGCCAGGCTATGTAAGCATAGCTCACTCTAAGTTTTCCAAAATCCTGCAAGGAAGGCTGAACCGACAGAAGTATTTGCCTGAAAGTCATGCAGTGACCTTCCATAAGGAGGATGAACTGAGCCTAGGTCTCCCAGGTTCTAGTCTAACTAACTCTTTAGCCATTGGAGCTAAATAACTTTGGCAGCAGAATATTTGGTAAGCAATAGGACTATGTGTCCAGGTTCAAAGGGCAAGATATGATTTGGAGCACACATGGGCATGTGTCTGAAGAACAACTGCTAGCAATAAATATTTGTACTTCAGGTGGAAACAAGGGGACCTTGGTAGTCTCTGGATAGAGACTTGGTAGAGCTGGATTGTTTTTTTGTAGATGTTTCATTACATTACCAGGTAACATCATCTATATAATGGTAATGAACTGACTGCAAGAAAACAACCCTCAGAGACTCAGAGAACAACAACTGCAAAGCACAGCTGCTTTAATATGACCAAAGGAAAGGCTAGCCACATATGTGCAAGAGCTATTAATCATATTTTTGCTCTTTGAATAGCACGCCCCTCCTTGACAATAAAAAGGCAGTCAATAGCTCTTATTACTTCTTCTTCTGAGGTTGAATTGGACACAGACATCATCAGGGGAAAAAGCCCAACTGTCTCATTTCAAGTACTGAACATTTTAGTCATGCTTTGAAAGGATCCGAAGTGAGCTCTTTCAGGAAAGGAAGGGAAAACTTTGAAAAGCCCAGTTTTGCTAACTTACAGTTTACAATGTCCCAGAAGCTTTTGCTAAGTGTAAGACAGATGCTGGGAGTTATAGTTTAACAATATTTGCAGCAGCAAGGGATTCCCAACTATGTGGTAAGAGAGGTGGCAGATTTAAAACAATAAGACACAGCAAAAATCCTTGCCAGGGTTTTGTTTTGGCTTTTTAGATGCTGACATGGGATTATTCATTAAAGAAAACAAAAAGAAGCTGGAGCAATTGTGAAGGAATGAACTCTTTGGGGAATTTAGGATCCTTGACAAATGCTCGAACTTGCATAACTCTAATCAGAAATGCATGAAAAATTAGCTCCACCTCAATTTTCATGGAAATGTAAATAGTTTGTGTCCATATCTATTTCATACCTATGCAGCAAACCCCCCCCCCCCGACCCACAAATTGTATTTACCAATCCTCACTGTGCTTGGGAATTTAAAGAAATGTACAAAACATATATAGTAAGGAAATTTCTATACAAACGAAGAAATCAGGGCACAAAAATGCATCACATTAGATTAAAAAAAATACTTATAAAAATCTGTATCTCAGGAAAATCTGTACAAAATGTATAGGTCTTAGAAAAATGTGTCAGAAAACACATTCCGCCGTGCCCTGAAAACATTTCTATTCCAACAAGCTGGTCTGGCCTAACTCTCCCTTTTTAATTGGCTTTTAAACTGGCTTTTAAATTGGGTTTTAAACCTCTTTAGATAAATTTGGATGTTTTTTAATCTTTGAGCCTAAATTACTTAATCTGTTTCTTAATAGTTTTTAACTTCTATATGTATTTGTATTTATTATGGCTGTTCACCGCCCTGAGTCCTTCGGGAGTAGGGCGGTATACAAATATGAAAAATAAATAAATAAATAAATGTAGGTTTTCATTCTTTTTAAAATAAAAAAAATATTTAACTGTAGCAGAAAGATATTTTTCAGTTTCTATTAAGCAAACTCTATGCTTGTAAAAATCATGGAAGTTTCACTATGGATTGAGAGAACCAAGCGAAACCTTTCCTGCTTAAAAAAAAATGGGACTGAAGTCATATTTGCAAATAATACTGTAAATGGAGACCATAAAGTTAGAAAGGCATCCAAGCTTGTAAATGAGTACAGAACTTTAATTATTTCAGTACATGGGCTATTAAAAATTCATGTTGCTTTACATTATGTTGAGAAGTAAAATCAACTCAGTATTAACAATGCCTTAATAAAGAAGGTTTATTTGCAAACATTATAATATTGTGTAAAGAAATGAATTATTGAATAAACAACATATGTATAATTGGGGCACATGTATCATCTTTTGATACATTAACATAAGTGCACTATCCCCACATGTATGTTAATTTTTTTTTGGTGAAAAATAGAATGGGGTTGGAAAAGGGCTTCAAGTGAAAGTTTCAGGAATCACTGCAAAAGATTTCAGTTCTTAAGGTGGTTTTAAGTTGCTTAGAAATGATGAATAGAATTAACAGTGAATAATGAAACTTATAAAAATGAAAATGCTTATGTTTAAACCATTTATCCCAAAGAGAATCAGAAAGAGAAGCAGATACTCATCTAATACTCATAGTTATCATTTCTTTAGCAGTCTGATCCAATATTATTATCTTTCTCACTATTCTGTTCATACAATTTAACAAAATTCCTCTTCCAAGTTACTGCATTTATTGAGAAAGTTTCATAACTGTTCCTAAAATTCATTTGGTTCTTTCTTAATTACTATTCAGTGGATTGTAACATGTAGCTATCACTAATGTATTGATTCCTACTTTCATATCCATTCATAGCAATCTAGGTGACACAATCCATATTTTGACATATATTTTAGTTATTTCATATGTTTCACAAATTTATCTTACATTCCAAGTAGCCATTTTTCATATGCCAGTTGTCACAAAGAGGGCCCATAGATATTGATCTCCATGATCAATCCTGGCTTTGATCTAATGAGGCTTTTGTAAAATACTTTTCAGTAAGAATTTGTATAGACAAAGTTACCTGCTCTAGACCTACCTGTCCTGCAGCTAGGACAAGCCTGGTCAGTTCTGTCAGATTTTATCAGCAGCACCCAAAGGCAATCAAAGTCAATTTTGTCATAAGTATGCTCATGCTATTCTATGCAAGCTTATCTCTAAACCAGAGACTATCTTGCAATCCCCATATTGTTTTTTTTAATGAATATTATTGCATTCCAAATTATTAATGTATTAATAACTTTTACCCTGCTGTTGTAATAAGATAATTTAAAGAAAAGATTAATGCAGAGGTCAAATTCCTTTTGCCTTACTTTGATCCACAACAATACAATATAGGAAACAACATATTTTCTTTGTCTTTCTTTCAAAACATTAATCAGTAGTGGATTCAACATCAGTTTTGCAAAATATGCAAACAAATGAAATACCTGGACAAGGCACAGTACAAGCTTCTTCAAGTACAATTTTCTTATTGCCATCAACCATAGGTTCAATTTCCCCACAATATTCTTCATCAACTTTTTTGCCAATGTCATCACTAGATCCATCATAGACCACACAGAAAATATTTCTAATTCTTGATCCTTCTCCACACTGGGCATCCTGGAAAAGATGTTCACAATAAATCAGAATAAGGGAAAAAAACTGAATAAAATGCCACAAAAGGGCAATGGGATACTGGGCCATGCTTTGAAACCACAGCTAGTGCCAAAGTGGATGCAATTAGAGGCTTAACTTGTGATAGCTAAAGATCTATATGTATTGTATAAATAAAATTTCCATTGGAAAGCCAAAACTGATACACAACACTTTAGGCTTAATACTTTAGGAAAAATAAAGTCATGCCTATTTCCTAACATAGGAAAAATCACGTATGTTTTCTATGTGCACATTTAATAAAAAGTTCTTATTTAATAAATGAGACAAGTGTAGATAAGATAGAACAGCTTATTAGTCAATTGCTCTATAGAATTGTGTTTTTCTGTTTAGGCCAAAGTATAAGGCTGTCTATAGAAGTATATAAATCAGCTTTCCCTAATCTGCCATTCTGCATGTACTCCAGATGCCATATATCGGTATGTATCACAAATATTTAAGGATGAAAACCTCCAGGTACTAGTTTTACCTCAACTTTACATTCTTCCCATGAACTGTACTGCCATCGATAACAAGGTTTTACTGGGCAAGGTTTGAACTGCTCCATTTGTGAAGGACAAGGTCTGCCATCACCTTGGAAAGGTTGAGTAACAGTTCTCTTTCGTGTCATTCTTCCTTCAAAGCGGAGAAAAAGAGCATTTAGTACCGATATTGTACGTGTTTTAAGACATGTCATTTCAGGTCATAAATCCTGCTTTAGCTAGGAATGATATTCTTCCCTGCATAGCTGGAACATTCTAAGGAACAGCCCAGAATTATGGCCTGGATCAATCTTTCCCATTGACTTAACCTCCAGATGTATTAGATTCAACACCCAATCAGTAATTGGGCTAATTAAAGTCCAGCATAGCTTGAGGATACCAAGTAGGGAAGGCTGGCTAAAAAAATTAGAAAGTCGAAATTCTGTTATGTGTCAGGCGTGACAGATGTTATACACGTATAAACCTCTCCATCTATCCATCTTTTTTTTCTCCCATTAGTGATCCAGAATTCTTTTTGGGGATTTTTTGGTTCTTTTTTTCCTCTTACTGGAACAAAATGTACAGTGATGTGTCGAATAGATGGATGTATTACAAAGCATGTACATTTGTATATTTTTACTTGTTTTGTCTGCACAGGATAATTTGACATCTTCTTGACATGAATCCAAACCAGTGGTGGGTTCCTCCCGGTTCAGCCGAGCCGGTAGCAGTGACAATATGACATCACTGAACTAGTTCTGCCCCCCCGCCTCCCCACCTCCCGCGTTATTCTTACCTTTTATTTGGCCCCACCCCCAATCTATTGCTGCCTCCTGAGTCCCAGCTGATGGCTAGAGGGAAAAAAACTGTTTAAACTCTTGCTGCGGGGCTTCAAAGGGCTGCCCTACAGCTGATCAGTGTTAAAAGAAAACAAATGAGTAGGCTGGTGCCTACAAAAATAAATGGGTAGACCGGTGCCTGCAAAAATAAATGGGTAGACCAGTGCCTGCAAAAATAAATGAGTAGATCGGTACAGCTCTGCAAACAGTTAAAAGCCTGGTAGACCAGTACCTCTGCTAAATCCTAAATAATTGTCACATGACCATCAAGCCATGCCCACAAAAAAGCCACGCCCACAGAACTGGTAGTAAAAAAATTTAGAACCCACCCCTGATCTAAACATATCAAATACTATTACCATAATAGGCATCTTGAGCAAATTTGGAGCAATAAAGAAAATAATTGTTATATTGAATGCAGCTTTGACAGCCACTAACAGCAGAATTATCTGCCAGTACTATAAATGAACCCTGCTGCAATGTTATCACAGTTCCTATGATATCACAAATGAAATGAATCCTCTATTCAAAAGAAGAAAATAAGATTAACATCTATAATGCATTTTTGATTAAGTATCCATCTATCATTACACTTCCATTGTATAAGGCATAAACAAAAACAAAACAAAACAAAACAAAATCCCAAGCAAAATGAAATAATTGTTGATTTAGAAGCCAAGTGATAACAGGAGACATCCACCCTGACTCCTGGCAGGGTTGGGCTTTCCTTGAAAGAGTTGGTTCATAATCTGGGTTTCTCTTAGAATCACCACTGCTGCTGGAAGAGCACAAAGGCCAGAAGGGCCTAGGCACATCAGTTGTAAGCTTACCTAGAACAGGAGGCACTAGGACTATGGCTTACATTCTTGTTCTCCAGTACTTCAATTACTAAAATTCACATAAATTGAAGACCACTTAAAAACATCAGCTAACGAAGCACATCAGCTGCTTAGTACAGAGTTGAAGTACAGTCACATAATAACTATTGCAGGAACAGTGTTGGTTATTGATTGTTTCCAATCGCAGTTCAAGGATACTGATACTGCCTATATAACCGTGATGGCGAATCTATAGCACGTTTGCCAGAGGTGGCACCCAGCACCCTCTCAGTGGGCATGTGAGCTGTCTCCCCAGTTCAGCTCTGCTGCGCATGCGCGTACGCCTCCTGCTGGCCAGCTAATCTTTGGTTCTCTGCCGTGCATGCACGGGGGTTGGGGCATTTGTGGGGGCATGTACGCATGTACAGAGGTGGCGGTGGGGTGTGTACGGGTGTGTGTGCACCCATTGCATTTGGGGGGTTCGGGCGCTTTGGGCACTCTGGAAAAGGTTAGCCATCACTGCTATATAGCATGGGACTGGTTATTTCAGAGACTCCTCATCCAAGTCAACTCTGTCCATCTAACCTGAGTAAATAAAATTGCTGTTGTTCAGTCACTAAGACGTAACTGACTCTTTATGACCCATGGATCACAGCATGCCAGTCACCCTGTCCTTCACTATGTCCCAGAGTTTGCCCAAATTCATGTACATTGCACTGATTGCTTTATCTAACCATTGCTTCCACTGCAGTCCCTTTCTCCTTTTGCCTTCAACCTTTTCCAAATCAGGGTCTTTTTCAGTGAGTCTTCCATTCTAATTTGGTGAGATCTCCTGTTAAAAGTCCTCACCTTTTAGGAGGTGTAGTAGGAGGGAGCACTGAAGCAGGTGTGCATGATGGCAGCAATTTTTCTTTGGCAAACTTATCTTGGAAACACAAATACTTCCCACTTTTATGAACTTCCAGAGAGTAGTAAAAACCTGACTTTTCAATAAGCCTTTGCTAATTAGCTAAAGAAAGATTTGTACCATTATTGTGTGTTATTACATTTTTTGGTTTTTATTGCATTGTTCTATGTATTGAGCTTTGATTTTGTACCCTCTAGAGCCTAAAGAATCAGGCATTTAATAAAACTCATACATAATCAAAGGATTTATCTTTTTTTAAGCTTAACCTGCTGCGTGAATCCTCCTAGTGGTATTCAGTAATATTCCAGCTAGACCACTAGCTAGATTACTATGGTTTACTAAGAAATTAAAGTTGAAAAATTCTGGTTTGGCATTATATAAAGCTACCAATTCTGGTAGCTTTAAATTTCACCATTTGAAAAAAGATAAGTCAGGCTCTGGTTAAAAGTAATCCTAGTTGCCATTTAGGATGGTGTGAGTAAGAAACTTAAGGGGAAAGAGCACTTATTCCACAAGTAGATTTAATATTTTGTTAAAAAAGAATGGTGAGGAGTATTGCCCTTGCTTTATGCTTTTCTCCTTATATGTAGTTGCATTCTTCATAATTAAGGCCTAAGTCCAAATAGGAGAATGCCAGGTCTCAATACCCTCACATTTTTAGTTATCTTCCTCAACATTCTAGCTTTTGTGAGCACAAAAGAGATCCCTTTATAACATAGATGTAAGTTACTTTGCAGAAAGGAAACATAATACCATCAGGCAAAGTTTCTTGCAGCTTAAGACAAGCTTTGTTTGCTCCAGTATACCATACAGCATTTCTCAACCTTAATAACTTGAAGATGTATGGACTTCAACTCCCATAATCCCTCAACCAGTGATTCTTTGAAGTTCATACATCTATAAGTTGCCAAGATTGAGAAATGCTACGTAGAGATAGGTTCCTGTGGTCATCCCACAGAAACATTCACCCTATCTTCTGTCCTCGGAATCAGAATAGCAATTTGTTCAGCACAAAGCTGGCAATTTAGCAAGCTTATAGTAAAGCACGCCAAATCTGCCTCAATCTAGCAATCTTTCTACCAAAGCCTCTGCCCCTTCTTTTTCTTCTTCTGATGATGACTGGACTCATTTATCAATCACCAGGAAGTTTCTGAACTAACCAGTTAGACCACAAGCCTGTGAGCATTCAGACCATGGAGACCAGTCTGACAGTTGACAGTTGACAGGACATTCCACCATGCAGGAGGTGTTCATATTCCAAATTTTTTCCAGACCAAGCTAAAAAAAAAGAAGATATACCAATCAGTAGGTCAGATGAAAAATTATCAACTCAACAGAAGTTAACACAGTTATAAATTAATAATCACAAAAGGAAAAATTGTACCAATTCGTATAAGGACCCAATACTTTTGTAGTTCTTTAATAAAATTAATTGGTTTTCTCTTGCAACCTACAGCCTCCTACGGTCCCAGTTCCATTTTATGGCCATCATAGATCATTAGGATCATATGACTAAATTTGGTGGCAAAGTTTTCATTTTCAGTTGTGCAATTTTTAAAAAGTGATACATTTTTTTTAAAAAAAGGCTAAAAGTGTTTGTTAAAAGGTAGCTTTGTACTGCTCTCTACCTTCATGACATCAGTATTATTTTCCTGGGTTCAATAATATCTTCAACAGCAAAAAAAATCCCCAATAAAATGTGATACTATATGCAAAAAGATATCTTCCCCATGTTCTGGGGGCCAGTATAATCAATAGTGTGACTGCTCGAATTTCTGAAACTAAGGGATATGGTCCTCCTTATGACCATATTATTTAGAGACAAAAACTCTAGTCCCAAATGCCTTCAAAATTTGGAGACTAACCATAATAGAAAATATTTTTCATGAAAAAAAAAATGATTTGACAGAACACACAAAAAATGAGAAGACTGTCATTGTTCTAAATTTTGTTCTAAATTTTTGAGCATTTAAGAGGATTCTAGAACTACAATTTAAGAAACATTGTTCTATTATGTTCAGACAGTAGGTATTTTGTACACAAAAAAATAAACTTCTTGATGTCTTGCTTACAACCAGAGAATAAATATTACGAAAGAATAGAAAGCTGAATATTAAAACAATGATCCTAAATTATAATGGGAAGTAAAGAAAATGGTTCTATCCTACTTATTCTAGTAGTTGATGTAAACATTGCTTTTTTTAATGGGAGGGAATGATTATTCTGGTTTCTCACTTAATTAATTCCACCATTCCTTATAATTTCAGAAAAGGCACTCATGCTTTTCAAATAGCCATGTTAAGTGGCATACATTGAATCCTGTCTCATTAAATAAGCAATATAAAATAATACAACAGAAACCAATTGCGAAATATTGTTTGGAGACATACAGTATGCTATTAGGTTTCATGCCAAGCACAGCAATAAATCTCAGCTTTCCAGACATTCCACTTCAGGGGACTTGCTTACAGCAGAAAAGTTCACAGACACAACATGATTATATGTGTATTCCTTTATTGGAAATGAGGTAGAAGCCATATATACACAAATGATCTGTCTCTTGCAGAAATTAAGCCCTATATTTTGCTTCATAGTTGAATTCCAGCATTTTGGAGGCTGTGGAAAATTGTACTGTTCTCTTTCCAGCCTTGATTAAGTGGGACCTACTCAATAGTTGTATAATTATTATTTCACCCAAGACTTCTACTTAGTGTCCTAATCAGTTTCATCCACATATTTGTACAAACCCCTTACACTCTAATTACAAATTAACATCTTCCATATAAATTATTAGAAATCCAAAATATTTTTTTCCTGTAGAGAAATATAGATTTATTGTGTTTGCAAGATGCACAAATTGGTCCAACTGAGTACATATTTTTTTATAATGAACATCACATCATTTTTTGGGTGCTCTTTCCCATTCAACTTGTAACTGCGTAAATTTATATACCGCATTTTTCGGTCTATAAAACACACTTCTATCCCCCAAAAGTGGGTGGAAATGTGCATCTTAGAGAACAAATGTTACTGAAGCCCTGCCCACCCACTGGCCCCCACCCACCAGCCCCTTTGGCCTCTGCCTCCCAGCAATTTTCCTCTTTGCAGCAAACAGCAAACAGCCTGGTCAGCTTCAGCACAGCCTGATTTAGCATGAGCATCTGACTGGTGGTTAGATCGGCCTCCTGGAATACCGCCAATCAGCTGTTCCAGGCTGTGGGGATCACTGCAGCCCATTGCCACCTTCACCACCTATTTCACCTCCACGCACCCCATTTTCAGCCTCCGCATGTCCTATTTTTGGCCTCTATGCATCTCATTTTTGGCCTCCGCACATCCAGATATGGCCACTGTGTGTCTTGTTTTTGGCCCATTCCAGGCAGCTGGAACAGGCCGAAAATGGGGCATGTGGAGGCAGCGCTAGGCAGCAGCAATGGGCGGCAATGGCAGTGATGCGTGGCTGTTGTTCCCCCAGCCTGGAACACCTGATCGGTAGTATTCCAGGAGGCTGATCCAGCTGCCAATTAGCTGCTCGTGCTTAATGAGGCTGTGCTGAAGCTGACCAGGCTGTTTTGCTGTTTGCTGTAAGGAGGCAAATTGCTGGGAGGCAGAGGCGAGTTTTTTTTTCTTGTTTTCCTCCCCAAAAGTTAGGTGCATCTTATGGTCTAGAGCATCTTATAGTGCGAAAAATATGGTAAAAATAAGAGTATGCTGAAGGGAGGCTAGATAGCCTGAGTGGGAATCTTGTTTTTTAAAAAATCAACAAAGTAAAGCTCCATTTTTGGGGTTTCTAGTGCTTCTTCTAACCTTAGCTGCAACTATAGTTTCAAAAAAAAAAAAATCAGTGACACAGTTTTCTGCCATTTTAAGTGGAAATTAAATGAATTCATTACACATGAATTTAACCTCATTAATAAAACAATGAAAAGTTCCTCAATTCCCAAATCAACTTGGAAGAAAAGCAGAGAAGAGAACAGAATATTCTGGGACCACTTTGCTCAATCACTCTATCCACTGTGACCTTTGATTCCCAACAAATTTTAATTGAGGTCAATGGCCAACAAATCTACTTATTTCTGTTCCAAGATTTAAAAAGTGACTGAGGATGTCTACTATGTTATGACTCAGTGAGGAACCTTCTGTCATAGTAACTATGGTTATGCTTTTCGACACACTAAAAGAAATATTATAATGTTGTTGTACTTCTGTACTTTTCTTTCAAATCTTTTGAAAAAATTCATTTTCCTACCTTATGTCAGTTGATTCAGCTTCATAGTGAGTACACTATGCTTGATCAAAATAAATAATCTCTTGGTCTAACTCAAGAACCCCCAAACCCTTTAGCTCATTGGTTCTTTCATGAAGTTTCAGTTTGTTCATTGACACACAACTATTATTAGCATGCTGCGGACACTCTCACTCAAGGAATTTCAGCTGGGCGGGTCCAGAAGATCATCCTTTCCTGCCATGGATCTGTCCTCTGCAACATCTCTCCCCCGCCCCCAATTCAGATCTGTTCCCACCATTTTGGTATTGCCAAAGGCCTTGAAGACATTCTATGCCAAACAGGCTGGGGCACCAATGGGGATGTGGCAGGTTGGAGGTGGTTGATGGAGTTGAGCACACCCCACTTCCTCTCTATGTGTACTTTGCTCCTCCCCCCTCCATCCTGTTTAATTTAATTTTAGACAATTTTTTTTAAATCTAAGAGCTATATTTATTGTTTTAATGTTTTATGCTGCATTTTATTCAATTTCTGTAAGCTACCTAGAGTCAATTTTGGTGAGATGGGCACATAAAACTTTATAAATCAATATGAAAATAATTTAATAAATACTATCATATCAATATATTAAAAGGTATTTGTACAGGCATTTTTTTTTCAAATTTATAAAGAGGCCAAACAACTTACAATTGGGAAAATGACACCCAAAAAGACAGAAACAGGGAAAGAGATAAAGAGAAATGCAGCACTTTGGCAGAAGATCAAACAGTTACAAAAGAATCATTCCAAATTAGGACAATGATGGCTATTCCAATTAAATTGTATTATACTTATTCACCTTGATGGCTTATTGTTTCCAAACCATCATTTCAATGGGGGGGGGGAGATAGCATGCCTTAGTGATTACTCACTTAAGCAAAAAGAGGGAATTAAATGACAAAAATCACTGATCATGACAAAAACTCATTTACAGGGTACATAGCAATCCCTGAATAGCTTTGAGAAGCATCTGTCACAAGATTGATCACATGCACTGAAGAGAAAGCTTTATAGATGATGGTTTTCAACCACAAAACAAGGGAAAACATTTACCTACCTTGTCACAGTACAACAGGTCAACTGACTTGCCATCACTGCGAACACAATCAAGCATTCTTGTTTTGATCCCAATACCACAAACAGCTTTCTCACTTAGCTGGCATGTGCTCCAGTCTTGAAAGGAAGGGAAGAAAAGAACGGTAGTCAGTGAAAAAGTTGTCCTGTGTGTTGTACCAAAAGGCAACAGAATGCAGTAAGCTGCCCTACTTTCTTGTTCATATTTTCCCTCATTTTCAAAAAATTCAGATGACTCATAGTGGATTTCTTGTGTCAACCTCTTAAGGACACAACAAGTGATGAACATAGCAATAAAATTAATACACACTAAACCAGCCTCTCAAATAGGTAATTCCAGGCATCACAATACATTGATCACCTTGTAAGAAGGCATAAAATAGTAGTCAAATCCAGAAGAGCACAATTTCAGCGCCCATTATAATTTTTAATAGGAAAGATATAATACACAAGGGAACTATTATCTACATTTAATTAATGTAGTTTTTAATTAAATTAGATCCAATTCAAATTTTGTTCTGTCTCCACACGTCATCATCCTAGACACATCCTATTTCTCAGGGCTAAGCATACTTTTCTAAGCACCGCAAGGTTCTTAGCTGGAAAAAAGTTGGGAATCCCAGTCCTAGGCAATAATCAAAAAATAATCAAAAAATCTTGATCAGGGCAAAGCAATAGATGCAATTTACATAAACTTCTGTAAAACCTTTGATTCAGTGGTACATGACAAACTACTTCTAAAACTAAAATCCTTCGGCATCTCCGGACCTCTCCATAATTGGATAACTGCCTTCCTGTCAAACAGACAAGAAGTTGTCAAAATAGGGAGCGCCTTATCAAATCCTGCAGCTGTTAATAGCGGTGTCCCCCAAGGCAGCGTTCTAGGACCAACACTCTTCATACTATACATTAGTGACCTTTGTGATCATATTATAACTGCATTCTCTTTGCTGATGATGTTAAACTATTTAACACTACCAACAATGCTGCTACCCTTCAAAAAGACGTTGACTTTGTGTCGGAATGGTCAAAAAATTGGCAACTCCAAATCTCAACCAACAAATGCTCTGTCTTACACATTGGCAAAAAGAATCAGAACACAAAATACAAGCTAAGTGACATGACCTTGTAGATGACCCTCACTCTGTCAAGGACCTTGGAGTACTCATATCAAATGATCTAAGTGCCAAATCCCACTGTAACAACATTGCCAAAAAGACATTAAGGGTTGTAAACCTAATCTTGCGTAGCTTCTTCTCCGGTACACTACTAACCAGAGCATACAAAACATTTGCTAGACCAATTCTCGAATACAGTTCATCTGTCTGGAACCCGCACTGCATATCGGACATTAATACAATTGAGCGTGTCCAGAAATATTTCACAAGAAGAGTCCTCCACTCCTCTGCTCGCAACAAAATACCTTATGTCACCAGACTTGAAATTCTGGGTTTAGAAAATTTAGAACTACACCGCCTTCAGTATGACATAAGCATAGCTCATAAAATCATCTGTAACAATGTCCTAGTTGTCAATGACTACTTCAGCTTCAACCACAACAATATACGAGCACACAATAGATACAAACTTAAAGTGAACTGCTCCAAACTCAATTGCAGAAAGTATGACCTCAGTAACAGAGTTGTTACTGCCTGGAATGCACTACCGGACTCTGTGGTCTCATCCCAAAACCCCCAAAACTTTAACCTAAAACTGTCTATTGTTGATCTCACCCCATTCCTAAGAGGTCTGTAAGGGGCATGCATAACAGCACCAACGTGCCTACTTCCCTGTCCTAATGTTCCCTTTAATTGTACTCATTTTATATATTCAATTCATACTTATACTTATATATATTATCTAATATGTACTCGACAAAATAAAAAATAAATAAATGAAATAAATATTTGTTTTTGATTTTTGATCAGACAAAGAAAATGGGGGAAAGGTATCCTATATTCTGATAGTGAACTTTGTTCTCTGTCTGTGAATTCAGATCCAAAATAAAACTATCCAGAAACAAAAGGAAGGTTAGGAGAGTTTGGGAGAACTTCAAAATTTGTGGAAATAGCCAACAAATCACATCAACTCTTTGTCTTTGATTTATGATCATTCATTTAACAATAATTCAAAGTTAGAACAGAATTACAACAGAAATTCTGGTCCAAATAATGACTGAACTACTTACCAGACACAGAATAGGTAGGGGAATTTGAAGGTGGAGATGTAATGGAAAACTATCAGGATAGAAAATCAGGCTATAAAAAATGTTTGGCTATTTGAAAAAAGAATGTGTCCAATGAGCTGCAATTCAGGTAGGCCTCAATTTACAACAGTTCATTTAATGACTGTTCAAAGTTATCTCAGCACTGAAAAAAGTGACTTATGACTATTTTTCATAGTTATGACCTTTACAGCATCCCCATGATCATGTGATCAAAATTGGCAACTGGTTCATATTTATGACCGTTGCTGTGTCTAAAGGCCATGTAATCACCTTTTGAGACCTTCTGATAAGCAAAGTCAATGGAGAAGCCAGATTCACTTAACTGTCGGGTTACTAGCTTACCAATTGACAGATTCATTTAACAATTGAGGCAAGAGAGGTCATAAAATGGGACAAAACTCACTTAACAAATACAGTATCTCATTTAGCAACAGAAACTTTGGGCTCAATTGTGGTCATAAATCGAGGACTACTGATATTTTCTTTCAGTCTGCAATCTACAAGGACTTAATCAACATCAGTACCTGTCACATTGTAATCATAGTGATAGCAGTTTTTGTTCAGATGACAAGGCTCTGTCTCCACTGTAGAAGGACAGGCCTTTCCTTCCTGAGCCAGCCTTAAGATCTTTGCGGAACGTTCCCTCACACTGCTTCCATTACAGGGCTGAGAAAATAAACCAAACATCCTTTTACTTTGATAAAAGCAACATCCTTAATACAAATTCTTTAAGGTCAAAGTATTTAAAAGAATTGGGCTCAAAATCCACATTTACCTAGGAATCATATTAAGTGAGAACTCATAATTATATTTAAAAAATCTGACCTCTTCTTTCACGGTTATTGTGAACATAATAGTGTAGAAAGTGATACACAGATCTGCTTAAATATAACATTTAAATATCTAGTGAATACTTTAAATACTTATATTCCTTGAAAATATAATTCAATAAGCCTATTGTTTTGATTAATAACATGAATCCTTGAATTAAACTAATGAGATTTTATCAATGACCTAGAACAGGGGTGTCAAACTCAAGGGCCGCGGGCCAGATTTGACCGGCAGGGTGCTTAGATCTGGCCTGTGGGGCCACCCTGGAAATAGCAAAGCCTACAGTGCCTCTGCCAGCGAAAATGGAGCTCCATTTTCACTGGCAGAGGGTTTCAGGAGGCCATAGCAGCCAAAAACAGAGCTCTCGAGAGCTGCAGGCTGCCTCCCGAATTCTGTTTTAGCTGGTAGAGGGTTGCAGGAGGCTATCACAGAAAAAATGGTGCTTGGGAGCCCGTTTTCACTGGCAGAGCGATCAGGCCACCACAGGTGCCCCTAACTCAAGTGACGTTGAGCTGGCCACGCCCACCCTGGCCACGCCCACCCTGGTCCCCTGAGCTCAATACAACCCTGATGTGGCCCTCAATAAAATTGAGTTTGACACCCCTGACCTAGAACATATATAACACTAAACAGGTTACAGAATCAGGATTAACAACAGCAAGCTAAAGACTACAGTACTATGGCTTACTTCTGTCTTAAATGACCTTTTAGACTAATTACAGTTTAATGGTTGTAGTGGCCATCTAGTTTTTGTCAAAATTAAGCAGTTTTAAAACTGTAGGACATAGATTCAAAGTGAGAAGTCTTTGGAATATTACAAAGGGGAAAAGTTGAAGATCTATGGATACAGAAATATATCACTTACATATATACAATATATACATATATATCCCAATGAGATAGGAATACATTGTTAACAGTTTTTAGTGCCAAACTGTATTGCCAAGAATTACTTTGTGTTACTAACATTTCCAGCAATAGCAAGGGAACTAAAGGTGAGACAACCAACCTATAATTATTTGACCCAATTTTGTGATAGAACAATTGACAGAGCAACTACTCATGATATACTGCAGTGATGACATCCAATTTTTTTTACTACCGGTTCTGTGGGCATAGCTTGGTGGGTGTGGTATGGTATGGCTTGGTGGGCATGGCTTGGTAGACGTGGCAGGGGAAGGATACTACAAAATCTCCATTCCCACCCTATTCCTGGGGGAAGGATATTGTAAAATCCTTGGAGCCTTGGTACTACAGGGGTTTAAGGCACCCTGTTATTAAGCTTATTAAGACCAGCTGCCTGCAATTACTGCAGGGTTCGAATCTCGCCAAGGCTCAAGGTTGACTCAGCCTTCCATCCTTTCTAAGGTAGGTGAAATGAGGACCCAGTTTGTGGGGGCAATAAGCTGACTTTGTATAAATATACAAAAGGATGAAGGCTATTGCTGAGCACATTGTAAGCCGCCCTGAGTCTTCGGAGAAGGGCGGCATATAAATCAAATTAAAAAAAAAAAATCTCCATTCCCACCCCACTTTGTGGCCAGCTAGAGGTGGTATTTGCTGGTTCTCCGAACTATTCAAAATTTTCACTACTGGTTCTCCAAAGTGCTCAAAATTTCTGCTACCGGTTCTCCAGAACCTGTCAGAACCTGCTGGATTTCACCCTGATATACAGTATCTATCATCTTTAGTATAAAAGGAACAGAAAGCAGGTAATGTGAAAAATCTCCTTATTTTCAGAGATGATAATTGAACGCTAGATGGTTTGACTCTATGGCTTCATAGAAAGGTAAGTTATACATAGAAATATATAGCTTGGTTACTAGCTAGGTGTTTCAGAAGAAAGTATCTTAGAATAGAATAGAATAACAGAGTTGGAAGGGACCTTGGAGGTCTTCTAGTCCAACCCCCTGCTTAGGCAGGAAACCCTACACCACTTCAGACAAATGGTTATCCAACATTTTCTTTAAAACTTCCAGTGTTGGAGTATTCACAACTTCTGGAGACAAGTTGTTCCACTGATTAATTGTTCTGTCAGCAAATTTCTCCTTAGTTCTATGCTGCTTCTCTCCTTGATTAGTTTCCACCCATTGCTTCTTGTCCTACCCTCAAGTGCTTTGGAGAATAGCTTGACTCCCTCTTCTTTGTGGCAACTCCTGAGATATCGGAACACTGCTATCATGTCTCCCCTAGTCCTTCTTTTCATTAAACTAAACATATCCAGTTCCTGCAACCATTCTTCATATGTTTTAACCTCCAGTCCCCTAATCATCTTTGTTGCTCTTCTCTGCAGTCTTTCTAGTCTCCACATCTTTTTTATATCATAGTGACCAAAACTGAATGCAATTTTCCAAGTGTGGCCTTACCAAGGCATTATAAAGTGGTCTTAACACTTCATGTGATTTTGATTCTATTTCTCTGTTTATGCAGCCTAGAACTGTGTTGGCTTTTTTGGCAGCTGTTGCACACTGCTGACTCATATTTAAATGGTTATCCACTAGGACTCCAAGATCCTTCTCACAGTTACTACTATCTTGGTCAATTTTGATTTGGTTGGACAAAAGAATCCTTACTTTCTTAAAGTTCTTACCAAGGAACACCTAGACCATTGGCCCCACTCGGATATGACACAGTCTTCTGGACATGGCAGTATGCATTTTCTAGCACCAATTGGCATCTCCTCTTGATCACACAGATAGTCTTCCACGATGTCTGAAGGACCGTCTACAGTGTTTTGCATGCATCTGGAAAGACAGAGCCCTTAGATGTAATAGATGTAAAATTATGTAGCTGTAAATAATTATGCAGTATATTAGATCCTTCCTATATAGAAAGGTCTGTGCTGAGTTAAAGAGAAATAAAAATAAAAGAGCAATATGCATCTTAGTCTAAAATAGTTTTCTCCAGTTATGTAATCTAGCATTCTCCAGGCAGCACATTGTGGGAATTTTAACCACATGTTATTTGAAAGAAAGCAGAAAGAAGAAGGTTGATCTAAAGGTTGTAACAAACAACATTTTCAATGAAGAAGATTCCAGAAACAGGAACTTAACTAGACATACAATATTCTCAACTTGCACACTTAGAATTTCTCCCAAATCACTTGAATAGATGAAGGCACTCTAATTAGGAAAGAGTGTTAAACTACTTTAAAAACTATAACCAAACTTGATTACAACAAATTCTATGCCTGTTTTAATTAGTTAATTACACAATTCATAGGCTGCCTGACTTCCAATGACTCTAGAAGAGTCATTAAAAGTAAAATAAATAAATAAAATAAAACTAAAAAAAGCTAATGGACAGCTCACAAGACAATAACAGGAAAAATGTTCACATAGCCTAGGGCCAGGGAGAACAGCTAGGTTTTCAATAGCATCCTCAACACTATAGATAGGAGACGCCTGGACCTCTTGAGAAGATATCCCAGAGGGCATGTTCTACTATAGAGTAGACACTCTTCCTGGGTTCCACAGGATGATGGTACTTAATTGATGGAATGCAAAGTGTGTCAACTTTGCCAATCACACTGGATGGGTAAAACCACTGGAGATAGGCAGTTGCTCAAAATACAGGGCTTTATGCCAGGGATGGCTTTATAGATGATTTATTGTACATTGAATTACACTGGAAGTCATCTGGTAACCAGTGCCACTGGCAGTACAATGGGTATATAGCAAGGTGTGCTCAACACTGTCTGCATCACTGCATGTTGGACCAGCTGTAGCTTCCAAGTAGCCTCCAAGGGGCAGCCCTATATAGAATACAATATCTAATCTGTTTGTGAAGTGAGGAATGTCCTTGTCCAGGAAAGAGTATATTTGGCACATGAGGTCTATGTGTGTTTTTGGCCTAATTTTTTAGACAAAGCAGTTGTCTGTATGTTTAAATATCATTGATCAAAATATTTTAATTTTAATATTTAGATAGAAAAATCTGGAAAAAATTAAGATTTGTGAGATCAGTCACAATACATGATGCAGCAAACAAAAGTATATCTTTTGTTTGAGTTAGTGACATTGTATTTGCAAATATATTGTATTTGCAATATATTCCCAGTACATATTGAATAAAAACTATTAAAATATAAATAAAACAGGATTTGAAGACAGCAAGATTTTAAACATCCACAACCGGCAGAACTGTTATTTATAGGAATGTAATATCAGGAAAGGCTCAAGGAAATAAAAGGTTGGTTCGATGTCATCTTAAACCACCAATCAATATAGAAACAGGAATACTGAAAGGCTCATAGCTACAGTATTTCTGGTTTGCATAGTAGAAAGAGGATGTCCTGAAGTACTCACTGAGTCTGAGTTAATCAAAGGTTTTCTACATGGTGGCATAGCTTCAAAGAGAACCTTACCTGATGAGCCTGCCTATAGTGGGAAATCCATAAAAATTCTCCGAAAGCTTTCTTATTATGACATAGGCTTAACAAACCATTGTTTAAATAAGCATGCTAAACCATCAGTAAACCATTATTTAAACAAGCATGCCAAACCTTGCACATGGAAGTTGCTCTTCCCTCCAAAGTGATAAATCTAGTAAAGGTTTAACTTGCCTCACTTTTCTGGTTTGCACACCCACTCCACAATTCTCCTTTAAGTCCACATTAGTCACTTTGCAGACACTCCAGGGTTCAGTGACTCCTATATACTGACCACAGTCACTATGGCAAGGGACCACTTCGTAAACCTGGAATGCAGAGACAGAATAATCAGCTTGCTTCCTGCAGAGAAGGATAACTGGCAGAAGGGAACTGGAACAATATTGTAACTATCATTTATTCAAAGTTACGAGGCATGCATAGCAACATTAGCAAGCAAGCATAGATGTGCATGGCAATCCAACAATGCTTAGATTTGTTGATTAGGTTACAGATGGGAAAAATTTCAAGGCATTCACTCTTTCTGTTTCTGAATTTGTTTCACTTTTATGAAACCAATTTCTTACCTTTCCTACAATCCTTCTCAACTCTGTGTTTCCCAAATGCATTAACCCGCTTCTTTTAGGTGCATCGAGTGAGCTATCAAGTTGAGCAATACAGCAGCAAGATTTCAATATCTTTTGTTCCTTTTCCACTTTGTACAGTTAAAGGAACAGGGAATCTACAGGAATCACAGAATTTCTAGCAAGATGATGTAGAATAAACTGTGATCTTGGCTCCTGTTATTCCTCTTGGGTGTTACAAGCTCAAGGTCTCACATTTATTTAGTATTCATTTATTATTCCACTTTCAGTTGCTCAACTCTACGTTGATTTCAGCAACATCTGCACTTAACTTCAGCCACTTACAAATCCATAAGATTTTTACTTGAATGAGGGCTTCTTGTTCTTAGAAGAAATCTTGGTATTTAATTGATTGGTAAATGACTCTTCAACATCCTATTAAAAGTCATGTTGTGCCTGCTGCTGGTTAAGCCATATAAGTAATGATACGTAAATCATTACTTATTCAAGTGGAGTCAAGTCTATTGGCTCACACATAAACCATGATTTGTAAGCCAAAGCACATTTAAAACTAACAAACTAAATTTGTCTTTATACAATATAAGAATCCAATTTTTGTATTATATATTTGTTAAATTTATTATTTAATAATTCTTTAAATAAATTAATAATTAAATGAATAGTATAATAAGTATTTATTAAATAAATAAATATTATTCATTGCCGAATATGAAGAAATGAAAAACCATCTGTTTTGACTTAAAATATGGAATAGTAGGACAGATTACAGGGATAGATACTATGTCTTCGGTGGGCTAAAACCGGCGGTGGGTTGCCCCTGGTTCGGACCAGTTCGCAAGAACCGGTAATAAAACCAGCGGGAGGCTCTGCCCACCGACCCTGATGTCATCAGGAAGCTTCTGCGCATGTGCAGAAGGGTGCGCACATGAGGAAAGCAAGCACACACGCGCGGCCCCATTGCGAACCAGTAGTAAAGATAAGTAGAACCCACCCCTGGCTAAAACTCATTGAGATCAAGTTTTCATCATCATCATCATTCTGTTGGATATCATTATTCCTGCCATTAAATCACAGGGTAGGGATTTATATGTAGCCTTGGATTGAGTCATGGTCATAACTACATTATATTTCCATATGGCCTTGGATTCAACAAACTCTAATTTGGTATAGAGATTGCACTTAAATTAGCTATTGGCTAAATGTAAATAATGTGATCCGTCCCTCAAGACCTGATTGGATGTAACAGTCTGAATTTGGTGGTATTTTTATTTTATTTTGCTTTGTTCTCACCACTCAGATGAAATTCTATATGCATGATGTTTTGCCACCATAACTAGTATTTTTAAACAGGTACAAATGGGATAAGTGGAATAGAAAATGGAGGCCAGCTGCAAAGAGATGAAAACATTCTTAGTTGTAAACAAAGGGTATATGCAAACCTACCAACTTTCCTGGCTTTTCAGAACAGATTAAATAATTGCACTTGTACAGTGTTATCATCAACTCCTTCTGGTCAGTTCTCAGTGAAGATTGGGTGTGACTGAAGCATCCTGATTAGGTCATCTTGTTAAAGAGGCATTTTGAATCTTATATACTAAAATTAGTCATATGAGTAGGAAGGACACACAGCCATTAGATCAGAGGTTTCCCAACTTGGCAACTTTAAGACTCAAGGACTTCAAATCCCTGAATTCTGGAGGCAGCATGGGTGGCTGAGGAATTCTGGGGATTGAAATCCACAAGTCTTAAAAGTTGCCAAGTTTGGAGACACCTGCATTAGAGCATTCTTCCAATAGGTTCCTCGTGGATCATCTTCATCTATCAAAGGCAGTAATGACTAATAATAATGCAATCAATTTTTCACCCCAGTTATATGATTGCATCTCGCCCTCCCATTTCTGCCTAGCAAAAAAAGGTGACAAATATAAACACAGAAATATTTTAAATCAGCATTTAGATAGACCCAAAGGAAAGCTAAACAAAAGACAAACACTGCACACAGTAATTAAATCTCATCCAGAAGCATGCGTGATGGTTTTGCATCTGTTTCACGGCCTCTTACCTGAGCCTGGAACAGGTGTTGACGATGAGCACAAGGGAATGAGCAAGGTAAATAAAAAGAATAGTTAGGAAGCAAAGCATATTCACAAAAACGCAGGTGCTTCAAAGTGGTAAACTGATTCTCCTAATAAGGAATGGTTGTTGTAAACATAGATTATTTGTGGGGTTTTGCTTATAACATTTTATATCGAACTATGCTACTTTTTCAAAGTACAGGTAGTATGTGACTTATGACCATGTTTTGACCCATTTTATGATCTTTCTTGCCACAGTTAACACTGCAGATGTTAAGTTAATAACACAATTATTAAGTGAATCTGGCTTCCCCATTAACTTTACTTGTCAGAAGGTTGCAAAAGGTGATCGTATGACCCTAGGACACTGCACCTGTCATAAATATGAGTCAATTGCCAAACATCTGAATTTTGATCATGCAACCATAGGGATGCTGCAATGTATGAAAAATTGTCACAAGCCACTTTTTTTCAGTGCTTTGTTACTTTGAATGGTCAGTAAATGAACTCTTGTAAGTCAAGGACTATTTGTATTGGGTGAAAAGCGATACAGGTAATACTGCTTTTCTGGCTATATCCTTTTTTAGCTTATTCGATAATTAACTTTCACACAAGAGGTGCTCTCAAAGGCTAAGAACATTTCCAATTGGATTTTAATAGAGAACAGGAATGCTTTTGGAGACTTTATTTGCTATGCTCCATGAAAAAAAAAACATTCAATAACAGAAGAGCACAGTATGTTACAGCTCCAAAAATATTTTTCCAATACATGTTGGAAGCACATTTATTCCATAAATGTGTTTTGTAAAAGTTATTGGTTTGTTTCATACTCCAAAAACACACCCATATCTTCTTTTTTGAACCTGTTGCCTTGGATTTCTGTTAGATTCCATCTCACTTGGTTCTGCAATAATAGAAGCTGCTCTCCCAGCATCCTGGGGTGCATCAGATTTGGAGGGTGAGATCAAAAAAAGAAGGAAGCCATGTGTAAAAGGGACAGGGTTTCAACACATGGCTGCCTTGTGGCTGTCATCTTCCCTTTTTTATTCTCCTTTCTCTCAGATGGACAACCCTAAAGGCCGTTCTCCATCTATACCAGAGGTGGGGAACTATGGCCCCTTTATGACTTGTGGACTTCAACTCCCAGAATTCCTGAGCCAGCTGTCATAAAGTCATAAAGAGGCCATAGTTCCCCACCTCTGGTTTATACTGTGAGAATCTGCAAGTCTGTCTTATTTGAAACAACATGGAATTGAGACTTGAAACAAAATATTTTAAAACTACCCTATTTATATGATTCTTGGATAAAGAAATCAATGTTTGAGAAGACAGATAGACATGAATAATATGGTTTCTAAAAGCTTTAGAGGAAAAAAAAAGTCTGGATTGCGAATCTCAGAAAACAGCAACTATCACTTTTGGATCCCCTGAAAAGCATTCAGAAGCTTCAGTTGTTGCCGATTGTATCAGCCTGAGCAGTCTTTGAGTCCTCCTAGAGTAGCCCATGTTACACTGCTGCTCTGCAACCTGCACTGGCTACCGGTTTGCTTCTAGTTCAATTCAGAAGCAATTCAGTTCATTTATGATCCCTCCTTGGCATGAATCCAGGTTAGTTAATGAACCGCCTCATCCCGCTAGGACAAGATTGTCCCATGACGCAAGCAGAGGAGGCCGCTTGTGGATCCCATTGGTCAAGGAACTCTGGCTGGCGGGATTCAGGAGTAGAGTCTTCTCTTCCATAGCATTGAAACATCCTGCCCCCTGGGGTGAAGTCTCTTTCCCACTCCTACCCACCCCGCACCATACTTCTGTCCATCTGTAAGAGTCTGAAGAACTGGTATTGCCAGTTCGCCTGGGGACCCAATGGGGGAATATCACACTGGAGGTGGCTTCTAGATCAGGGGTTTCAAACTCACATTGTCACGGTGGTGTCATGTGATGTATTGGGACTTTGTTCCCCTTTGCCAAAATGGGCGTGGGCATGGCCAGCGCCTGACGCGTCTGGCCCCCGGGCCGGGAGTTTGACAGCCCTGTTCTAGATTGGTAGCAAAACCCACTTCCCCCCTCCCCCAGGCACCCTGCTTCCTTCTCTACCGTCTTTTAATTCATATTGCTGTACTTTTTTTATTTTAGGTTTCATTGTTTATTATTATATTTTTATTTTTATCATTTTACCTTCTACTGTTGTAAATTGGCCAGAATAGCCCCACAATGAGATGGGTGGCAAATAAATTTAATAATAAATAAAAAATTTAAAAATCTCCAGTTTTCAGATTTGAATTACAACTAGCTATAAATATGTTTATTTGCTTCTTGTCAGAAATTTAGCAGTAATAATAAAAAATATTCTTTAAATGCTTAAAAAAAATTGCCATTATTGTATATTGCATTCCCTTTGCTTTTTGCCACTTTACAATTAGAGTCACCTACTTTTTAGGTTAAATAAGAAGCATGTTAGAAACATAAAAATTAAAGTTCCTAATGAATATATAAATTAATCAAAATTGCTCTTCAGCCATGTATCATGTTTTAACCCTAACTTTTCCCTTTCAAAGGATGCTACAGTCTCTGTCCACCACTTTCACTACAGTCACAGGGTTGTCTACAACTTGATTTCTTTTAACTGGAGGTAGGACAAGTTAATTATATTTTCTCTGCAGCCTGGCTCTGCCATGAGTTAGAGAATAATTACAGATTTAACAAAAGGAGACTTTAACGAATAATCTAAGCTTTCAAGATCTCTGAACACTTTTCAGTGCAGTAGGTACACAATCGCCCCATTTTCTCATGATTTGGAGATATCTTTTAAAATGTTGCTGCTACAATTGCTGCAGCAGAAATTTCTTTGTGTGATCTATTGCTATAAAAAAAAAGGATGTGACACAAGAAAGGCATACTGCATTGATCTACTGGGGTTTGTGCTATCTCCATACTTCTCTTTCCATCCATGTGTGAAACTTAAAAGTCTTTTATCTCTTTGGAAAGCTACATAGATTTGTGTAACTAATTTAGAGAAACATTTCCACTGTTCTTCATTGTAGCCACTGTCCTGGATCTTCTCACAAAACACACTAGGAGATGAATCTATGTGGGGATGTGATTACTCCGTTTCACTAAAGCAGCGTTTCTCAATCTTTATTACTTCAAGCTGTACAGACTTCAAATCCCAGACTTACTCTGCTGGCATCGGGAAGCTAGCATGGCTAGCTGGGAAATTTTGGGAGTTGAAGTCCACCCATCCTAAAGTGCCAAATTTGAGAAACACAGATCTAGATACTTCATTCATTTCATTTTAAGTATCCTTTTGATCTAAACAAAGATGCCCATAACTATTTCCTTGCCAAATTCTGTTTTGAATTCCATCTTACATTAGTTTCACTAAATAGTATGTTCTCAGTATAAAGTATAAAAAATTATTATTACTTGCGAGACCGACTTCTGCCACCAATAGCCTCCCACCGGCCAGTCTGCTCACACAGAGAGGGACTCCTCAGAGTGCCGTCGGCCAAGCAATGTCGGCTGGCGAAACCCAGGGAGAGAGCCTTCTCTGTGGGAGCTCCTGCCCTTTGGAACGAACTGCCCCTGGAAATACGCAAGATCTTCGATCTCCGTGTGTTTCGCTGTGCCCTTAAGACCCTACTGTTTCACCAGGCAGGGCTAACTATGTAATTATTTTAAATTGGAAGTTTTAAATTGGGGGTTTTAATCTGGGCTGAAATTGTGTAATATTTTTAATAATTTTAAATTTTGATATTTGTATATTTTTTGTTTTAATAGGCTGTACACCGCCCCGAGTCCTTCGGGAGAGGGGCGGTATAGAAATAAAATTATTATTATTATTATTGTTATAATTGTTTGTTGTTGTTGTTGTTGTTGTTGTTGTTGTTATTATTATTATTATTATTATTATTAGACTATTGCAATTTTGAAATTGCAATTTTCATATACTTAGAAATATATTCTGGGAAAACACTTAAATATTAGAGCAATGAGAGACTGAAATATGAATCTGGATCAGTTTTTAGATACTCTCTAGATCTATTGATCTATCTACAATGAGCCATGGTGGCGCAGTGCTTAGAGTGCAGTACTATAGGCTATTTCGGCTGACTGCCAGCTGCCTGCAATTTGGCAGTTCAAATCTCACCAGGCTCAAGGTTGACTCAGCCTTCCATTCTTCCAAGGTGGGTAAAATGAGGATCCAAATTGTTGGGGGCAATATGCTGACTCTGTAAATTGCTTAGAGAGGGCTGTAAAGCACTGTGAAGCGGTATATAAATCTAAGTGCTATTGCTATTTTGATTCAGCACAGCCATTGGCTGATACTGTTTGAGAATTTACCGGTAAGTAAAATGAAATTTGGAAGGTATTAAGTTTACAAAGGCTAATAGGGATGAACCTTTCTAATAAAAAAATTATTATTATTAATTTTTATAATTATATTTTGTTATATTATAAAAAATAGATTTATAATTTATTATTATAAATCTAAATTTATAATAAACAATATACTGTTCTGCCACGAGAGGGCAGTAGAGTTGTAGAAATAAACCTTAGAAAACTTCAATATGTGTCCATCTAATTGTTCATTACTTTGATATCTGGCACATACTTCAATTCTCAATATTAAGTATGCAATTTGAAAGTAAAAAAAATGTTTTTGAAGTCATTCTATTGAAATATTTCTTTCTCCATACTATCTCACTTTTGGATGGCGTTTCATATTACATTCAGTTACAATGTTGCTTTATTAATTTAACACTTACTGTCTTCTAAACTAGAACTAATTACATTCCCTTAAGTGGAAAATCAAATCAGGAAGCCGTTTCCTTTTCAGCCTGCAAATTGTCAACACAAAGACATTTAACAAACGTACATGAATGGCTAACAGTGCCTCCTCTATTTATCCCTCTCTCTCCTACATGAAAGGGAATTTTATGGAAATATAAACCTGGACATTTCACTTGTTGAACAATATGCAAATTAATCAACCTTCAAGATGGACATAAAAGAGGACTGAGGAGACATACAAAGGCGACTTCCCCCTATTCAACTGCTTTGCACAAGGAGAAACAGTATTGCCATGCTTTAACATTTTGACTATGTTATGAATCACTTACTCAGGAAATCTATTACAGGGACCTAAATTAGGGTCCAATCTAGAATTATTAAAGTGTATTTTGGAAATTCAACACAGCACTGCAATTTCCCTCTGTTTAGATATCAGATTTCTCCCTTTCTCTTTTACATGGACACTCACATTATTTTACACAAAAATAAACGCTCATAATTGGTTTACAAAACCAATTAAAATCATGTTTCCTTGGAATGGCAGTGAAGTGATACCAAGAAGGGCTGTTCCTACACTGTAATTAAATGAGTATTAGTTAATAAGTTTTAATGCCTATTTAATTTTATCTGCATTGAATAATAGCACTGATGACTGAAGTCGTGTTTAGATGGTGTTATCAGTAATAATAATCTCAGAAAATACTTTTAGTTAGGGGTGAGAGTAATGGAGAAACACCATCATCAGATTTTATATATTATATAGACATGTTTTGTATGTATGTTTTGTTCTACTTAACAAAAGTAGAGATCATTTTAGCTAGTCAGTTAGGCAAAACATTGATTAATCTACACGATTTGCAGCTCTAATGTAAGTCAACAATACTGCCTCTGTTGACATTAAAAAGAGATATTCAATGACATTGATCTTCTAGGCAATAAAAATAATTAGCTCTCTATTGGATGCTCCATATAATATGATCCTATATAGTGGTGCTTTCCAAGCTTGGCAACTTTATGATGTCTGGACTCCAACTCCCAGAACTCCCCAGCTAGCACACTGGCTGGAGAATTCTGGGAGCTGCAGTCCGTGCAAAGTTCCCAAGGTTAAGAAATGCTGTTACATAGGTATTTTAATGAGAAGCAAGTCTCATTCTTGGGAAGGGAATACTGATGATGAGGACATAGAGATCACTTACCTGATTCACATGATCCAGTTTAGGGCAGGGCCTTCCACCATTGTAAGGCTTCTCCCGGAGCCATTTAGACCTGACTTTCACTCCACTCCCACACGATTTGCTACAGCGAGACCAATTGGACCACTCACTGAGTTTGCAGTCTGATGGACATGGAATGATGCAAGCCTCCTCAATGTAGCCTGGGTGAAGAGAAGTGGACAGTTCAGGACAACTACAAGCCTAGCTGGGCCACACCTAATGTCTTTCTCATCCCACACTCTTTTTCACAAGTGGGTGCTTCCCATAAGCACAAAAGCCATGCATGAAAGTTACTGCTCTCTTTTGATATTGACCTTAGCAAGTGGTACTCCTATGGAACATGAAGATTTTATTCCATTGACATATAATTGATATTGGTCTCTGCAAGTTCTCCAACTCCTCTAATAGTCAGCTAAACTGGTCACCCTCACCTTAGAGTAATGTTCTGCATCTATTTTGGAACAATTGCATTGGCTGACACCAGATTCTAGAATTCTAAGAGCTACACAATTGCTTTATTCCTTAGAATAGAATAGAGCTGGAAGGGACCTTGGAGATTTTCTAGTCCAGTCCCCTGCTCAAGCAGGAGAACCTATACTATTTCAGATAAGTGACTGTCTTGTCTCTTCTTAAAAAGCTCCAGTGATGGAGTGCCCATGATTTCTGAAGGCAAGCAGTTCCACTGGTTAATTGTCCTCACTGTTAGGAAATTTCTCCTTAATTCAAGGTTGCTTCTCTGTTTGATTAATTTCCAAGCATTGTTTCTGCCCTCTGGTGTTTTGTAGAATAATTTGAACCCCTCTTCTTTGTGGCAGCCTTTCAAATACTGGAATATTGCTATAATATTGCCCTTAATTCTTCTTTTCTTTAGACTAGCCAAACCCAAATCCTGCAGCTGTTTAGTCTGTTTAGTCTCTAGGCATTTGATCATCTTAGCTGCTCTTCTCTGAACTTTTTCCAAAGTCTCAACATCTTTTTTTTTGTATAGTGACTAAAATTATTTGCAGTATTCCAGGTGTGGTCTTACTAGGGTTTTATAAAGTGGTACTAATATTCCACATGATCTTGATTCTATCCCCCTGTTTATACAACCCAGGATTGTATTAGCCTTTTTGGTGGCTGCTGCACACTGCTGGCTCATATTCAAGTGATCATCTAAGACTCAAAGGTCCCTATCACAGTTACTGTTTCTGAGCCAGGTCTCGCCTAATCTGTACTTACACATTTGATTTTTCCTGTCTAAATATAAAACTTTGCTTTTCTCCACATTAAAATTCATTTTGTTGGATAGGGTACATTGTTTAAGTGTGTCAAGATCTTTTTGGATCCTGAGCTTGTCTTCAGAGGTGTTGGCTATTCCTGTCCAGTTGACAGTTTGTTTACAGCAGGCTTCACAATCTGATGCCCTCTGACGTGCTGGGACCACAGCTGTCAAAATTTCCCATCCTCTGTGGTTTTAGGATCCAAACTCTGATTTGACAGGACTTTCTTAGTGAAAAAATTCCTTCATCATTAAAGTTTTATTAAAATTCAGTGGAGAAGCTGATACACATCTCCAGAGACAATGCCAAAATAAAATCTGGGCACCTGCATGGTATCTTATTAGAATTTCTGCTCCTCCAATATCTCCAGTTCTGCTTTTCTGACAGCTGGAATGTAATTGACACCCTGCCTCTCATTACACCACTCCCTTTCCATTTGTCTCCACAGCTACATGTGAATAAAAATACCTTCCAAGTGAGGTTGCTGCTCTATTTTTCTGCTCTTCCCACTCCAGACAGGATTATCAATGATATGCATTTGCCTACTCACTCATATAAATGTGCTTGATCCTCTTAAAACTAGTAAGGTTTCGCACTTTGCATGCACTATTCAAACTGTAAAAAAAGACTGATCTACTACATCCAGATAAACAGCCATTTACCCTGTGTATTAGATGGAGAATAATTCCTTTGAAGGATTAGCAAGTGGCTTGTTCTAATTGACAACATTTTAAAGGTGATGTTAATACTGTTAAGCTAAGCATTGGGCACTTAGGATGATCAAACAAGCCTCTTTTATCATGAGAGTCTAAATCCTTGTCTTTTTAGAAATGTGCATGTATTTATACTAACATGGTGCTATAGGTATGATGTCCCTGCACAGATGGTAACCTTGGACCATGTTAGAAGCTAAAAGTGGACATCTGAGGAACCAAAGGGAAGTATCAGCACATTCCAGGCAACTTCAATATCTGCTAAAGTTTAAAATATTTAAGGTTGCCTGGAATATTTTATTTATTTATTTTTTATTTTTATTTTTTAAATTTCTATACCGCCCTACTCCCGAAGGACTCAGGGCGGTGAACAGCCAAGATAAAATACAGATAATACAAATATTAAAAGTCCCTTAAAATTATTAAATATTTTGGCCGAAACACAGATTAAAACACCCAATTTATAAAATCAAACGAATTAAAAATTTAAAAGAGGAGAGTTAGGCCAGGCCAGCCTGCTGAAATAAAAAAGTTTTGAGAGCACGACGAAACATGAGCAGGTCCGGGATCCTCCGTATCTCTGGGGGGAGCTCGTTCCAGATGGTAGGTGCCTCCACAGAGAAGGATCTCCCCCTGGGGGCCGCCAGTCGACACTGTTTGGCCGACGGCACCCTGAGAAGCCCCTCTCTATGGGAGCGTACTGGTCGGTGAGAGGCTATTGGTAGCAGAAGGCGATCTCGTAGGTACCCAGGTCCTAAGCCATGGAGGGCTCTAAAGGTGGTAACCAAAACCTTGAAGCGCACCTGGAAGACCACCGGGAGCCAGTGCAGCTCACACAGGAGGGGGGTCACATGAGAGCACCACGTCGCTCCCATAACCACCCGCGCGGCCGTGTTCTGGACCAGCTTGAGCCTCCGGGTGCTCCTCAAGGGGAGCCCCATGTAGAGAGCATTGCAGTAGTCCAGGCGGGAAGTAACGAGAGCATGACTGACTGTATTTAACGAGTCCCGATCCAGAAAGGGACGCAACTGACGAATCAGGCGGACCTGATAAAAAGTCCCCCAAGTTGCGAACCCTCTCCGTGGGGGCCAATGACTCACCCCCAATAGTCAGTGATGGCACCAACTGACTATATCGGGATGTCGGAAACCACAGCCATTCGGTCTTGGATGGGTTGAGCCTGAGTCTGTTTCTCCCCATCCAGATCCGCACGGCCTCCAGGCACCGGGACATCACTTCAAGGGCATCGTTGGGGTGGTCCGGGGTGGAGATGTACAGCTGAGTGTCGTCAGCGTACTGATGGTACTTCACCCCTAAACCACGGATGATCTCACCCAGCAGCTTCACATAAATGTTGAACAGAAGGGGCGAGAGGACCGACCCTTGTGGCACCCCACATACAAGGGGCCTTGGGGTCGACCTCTGCCCCCCTGTCAACACGGACTGTGACCGGTCAGAGAGAAAGGAGGAGAACCACTGTAGGACGGTGCCCCCCACCCCTAACTCCTCTAGCCGGTGCAGCATGATACTATGGTCGATGGTATCAAAAGCCGCTGAGAGATCTAATAGGACTAGGACAGAGGAACAACTCCTGTCCCAAGCCCTCCAGAGATCATCAACCAACGTGACCAATGCACTTTCTGTGTTGTACCCAGGCCTGAAGCCCAACTGGAACGGATCCAGATACGACGATTAATCCAGGTACTGGGGGAGCTGTCACGCAACCACACTCTCAACAACCTTCGCAACGAAGTGGAGGTTGGAGACTGGACAATAATTTGCCAACACTGCTGGGTCCAGGGAAGGCTTCTTGAGGAGAGGCCTCACCACCGCCTCTTTCAAGGCGGCGGCGAAGACACTCTCACTCAGAGAAGCATTTATAATCCCCTGGAGCCAGCCTCGTGTAACCTCCCGAGAGGCCAGCACCAACCAGGAGGGACATGGGTCCAGTAAACATGTGGCTGCGCTCAGTCTGCCCAGTATCCTGTCCACATCTTCGGGCGTCACAGAATCAAACTCTTCCCAGATAATACTCACAAGACCTGCCTCTGTCCTCCCCCCTGAATCTATCCAGTCAGAGTCCAGGTGTTCCCGAATCTGAGCGATTTTGTCATACAGATACTGTACAAAATCCTTGGCTCTACCCTCCAAGGGGTCCTCCCACGCTTCCTGGTGGAGCAGGGAGCGGGTCACCCTAAACAGGGTGGCCGGGTGATTATCTGATGACGCAATAAGAGCGGCAAAATAATTATACTTCGCCGCTTTTATCGTCACCAGGTAGGTCTTAATATGAGACCTTACCAGTGTTCGGTCAGATTCAGAATAGCTGGCCCTCCAACTGCTCTCCAGGTGTCTTTTCTGGCGCTTCATCTCCCTCAGCTCCTCGGGATATGTTGATATCTCCCCTTGGTTTCTCAGATGTTCATTTTTAGCTTCTAACATGGTATAATGCTGGAAGCTGGAAAGCATGCGCAAGATGGCGGTCGCGTGGTGAAGCGCTGCGGTGAGATGGAGGACTTTTCGGGGCCTTAGGGGGTACTACAGGGGAGCTCGACCATCAGCAACCCCTGGTTTAGTCAGATGGGTCCGGGGCGAGGGTTTTGAGACCTTCCTCGCCCCTGGACGTTCCTGGAGTCGGAAGCGGCAAGGGAGAGTGGAAATTGTGCCGCTCCGACGCTGCCGACGCTGCTGAGAGAGCTGAGAGCCGAGAGCGGAGGCCCTGCTGGAGGGGAGCAGAGAGCGGAGCCGAAAGCTGAGGCATGGTGGCTTATCGGGCGAGAACCGAGAGAGGAGAACTGAGAATGGAAGCGCTGCTGGAGTGGAGAAGGGTGAGAAAAGAGAGCAGAGCAGCGCAGAGAGCGGAGATATGGTGGCTTATCATCGCGGTGGCGGGCTCAGTCAGTGGAGCTCGGGGCGAGGGTTTTTTAAGCCCTCCCTCGCCCCTGGATAAGCCCAGAGGCATTGGCAGAGAAGATGAAGGAGGAGGAATGGCTTTGGGGCAGCGAGTGGTGGCAGCCCGTTGAATTTCCACCTAACCCACTCAGAAACTGAGAGGAGTATAAACGGGTCTTGGGATTGGAGAAGAGAGACCCCCCCTCGGAATATCCTGGTGGCTGCAGAGGACCTGGAGGCCTCCTGTGACATTTAATGGAGGCTGGGGTCTGGAAGAACTGAGGAAAATAGGGC